TCCCTGTTGCTCAATTGCCCTAGCCCGCCGTCGACGCAGGCTTGTTCATGTTATGCATTTCTCTGCACCAGATCCGCATCAATTCCAGGATCTTTCACCCCTCCTCGGTGCAGAGACAGCGGAGCGTTCTTCCCTTTGCCAGACTGTCGACGAGGGCAGGGAGGACAGATGTGAGGTGAGAGGAAGATGGTGATGGTGGTATGCAGAGTGAGTGTGATATTGTGGAATGAGCACCTACGACGAACTGGCCTCATCTCACTTTCAACTCGCCTCATTGCGATCTGATCTCTTTCCTCCATCGAGTCTTGCAAGCCTTTCCCAGCAGAGAGGACCCCTTGTTGGGCTTGCTTTCCTTCCTCCTAGAATGGAACCTCCTATACCCGTCAAAGGAGCTAAAAACTTCGGTTGCCAGGTTCTCCTAGCTGCCCTCCCCAGTCTAGGGAATGAGGAAACCAATGTTCCTTCACATGTATGACTTCAAGGCTTGCTTATGCGACATAATGAAACAGATAGCGGTTTTCAGAGGCCCGGCCATGTTCGACATTGTCGCCCTTAAACGGAAAGTAAGATCGGGCTGGCTCTGTGCGAATTCCTCCAACTTCTTGGTCTGAGAGTAGTGCTTGGTTGGGCTACTGTACTTCATACCGAGTACAGCCTAACTGATTTTGAGAACAGAAACAGATATGCAAGGAACGAGGGCAATAGATTGGGCGGAAAGGTGGACTAAAGGGTAAATTTGCAAGGAATAGAGAGGGCTTTATACGCTGGATCATCGCTGTTACAGGCACCGACAGGGCCTTCCCGTCTTTTTCCTTTTTCCTTTACCTATGTCAATGCCTACAGCGTCCTACTGGGTCCGCTAGGTGAGAATGAGCATCCTAGACGCCGCAGAACTCAAGCTCATGTGGCGCCTGCTATTGAGATGATCCGAAGAGTGTCATCCCATAGAAATTTTCTGTACAGATCTCATGTCTCATGTCTCATGTCTACTATATAGATATTTCTCTGCAGAACTTTACCGGCGAGGCTGTGTTGGGCTGTGCATCTCGCAAGGCTCGGCATATGCCAATGGGAGCGGGTGACATATCTTATCGCCATGTGACATAAATTCTCCGCAAGACTTTTTTTGGGCCGCAGGGCGTGGAACTCAACTTGAACAATCATTTCATGCCTCTCAATATTTTCAATATGGGTGTAGAGGACAATACTGGGCCAATGCTGTCTACTTTGACTGCTGCCCTTCAGTCTGCAGCATCCGCATTTCCAGAGACAGAACAGCAACTGCTGCCCCCCGCCGAAGGCATTTCGCTCCTTGACACCAAGAATGACCTCCTCCTCTCCTACATCCAAAACCTCGCCTTCCTAGTCGTTGTCAAGCTACGCAGTGGCTATGCCGAGGACCCGTCGACGGACTTAGTCTCTGAAGTTGTGAAACACCTGGTCGGCTTGCGGGTCTATCTCGAAAGGGGAGTTCGCCCATTGGAAGGCAAATTGAAATACCAGATCGACAAAGTCGTGCGGGCCGCCGAAGAAGCTGAGCGCAGGGCTGCTGGAAGGACCGCAGTGGACCAAGGGGCGAAGAATCAGCCTCCAAGAAAGACACCCCACGGAAATGTCAATTTGTCAAACGAGTTCGAATCTGGCTCGGAAGAATCAGCGGAAGATGATGCCCTCGAAAACAGTTACACTGAAGGCGATATGTCTGTGGGCCCGAGACCTGCTGCACTCCTACGGAACGTGGCCGCACAGAAGAAGGAAGACCGATCTGTCAAGTCACGATCAGCACCTAATGGCGCATATAAACCTCCACGTATAACACCAACTGCAATGCCGGAACCGGTTTCACGTCGCGACCGCGACGCCCCCATTCGGAAGCGCAGGTCACAACTTCTGGACGAATATATTGACGAGGAATTTTCCACAGCACCACTCGCACAATCCTCGATTGGCTCCAATAGCACCATTGTCAAACATGGCCGTGGGGCTCTGTCGGCAAAGGAACGTGAAAAGGAGCGCGAAAGGACCGAATACGAAGAACGAAATTTCGTCCGATTGCCTGCAGAGAGTAAGGCTGAGAAAAGGAAAGCGAGGCTACGAGGCGAAATCGACAAGAGAGACCTATTTGGTGGTGAAGATTGGACAGGCTTGGGTGGACTGGGAGACCGAATTCATAGGAGCGTTGCAGGCAGGGCGAGAGGGGAGGGATCTAGTGTGCTGGAGCGAAGAGAGAAGAGAAGAAGGGAGACGCAAGACGGTCCCAGAGGGGATGGCGGTGGTATGGGCATCGGAGAGAGTTTTGAAAAGAAAAGGAGAATTCTGGAGCAGAGGGCGGAGAAGAAGGCAAAGAGGAGGAGGAGGTGAGAAGAGGGCGCATCTCATTGTGGCCTTTCAATCTGTCAACCTGCTTCGGTGCTGGCAACCCCTTATTCTGCGATTAGAGGTGTGGTCCTCGGTCGACTTCTCAGGACTGACGGCGATCAAACCTTGGCGCAATCACCGATGGTTCAGCTTCTCACGCTTCGGCTTACGAGAGAGGTTCATTGCGCGTCGGCGAGGTTATTCTCCTCGCAACCACTACCACCTTCGGATACTTTGCGACCGCAACGCCACGCGAACAACAAGGCTAAGAGGCTCAGGTCTATCAAAACGAGGCACATTGTCGAGCATACCGCGTATGCTGAATGCTCTGTGTGACGCGGCCACACTTTCCGTCTCACTCGTGTACGTCGTTTTCGACTCGTCACCCTACATGTGAGCCTGGCGCACTATCCGTTGATTGCTGCCCGGAATGGTTTATGGGAGAGGGCGAAGTCGAAATCAATTGACCTGACGGTAGACCATGAAACTGGTCCCACTTTCGAAGCTACCGTCTTCTGGCACGGCGTACATACGCACCTCAGTCCTGTTGCGCCGCAAGTCTCTCGGGCTCCTCCACGATCTACACGACGGCGTGAAGGAAGGTACGGGGGAAGCTGAGAGAACACTCTTCAGTAATCAACCAATGTGGACGTACCGGGAGAACAGGAAAAGAGAGAGGCCTGCCTATCCACCGACGCACTCACCCACCCACCCACCTACCTAGCTACCTAGCTACCTACCTACTCCTTGGCTGGGTATTCCAAGACGAAGCCAATGCCCGTACCAGAAGTACTAAGTACTCAGAATAGCTCGTACTAAGGGTTTTTCGTCGCGCCCCGTGATGCCTGCCTCACTTCCTTCTCCCTGTGTACCAGAGTGGCCAAAGGAATAAGTAATCACCTCTTTCCGGCTATAGTACGGCAATGTGTATTACCTAGAGTAGAGTAGATATGTACCGATCAACTAGAGCAGACGTGGAGCAATTCGTACCTACGTAATTATTATCCTTGTCCCTCTCCACGTCCATCGCCATCTGCATCTCTGCATCTTCACACCTTGAAGCAGGCAAGCAAGCTCCACAAAATCCAATGCTGGAGCTAAGGCGAGCCAATCAGCAAGCAGGCTGGCGCCCAAGTAATCAGGGACGACCTACTTATGTGGCCATGTAGCCGTCAAACAAGACGGATCGCATGAACGAAACGCCTTCGGTACAGTATCTCCCATTGCCTCTCCTCCCTCCACAGCTTACACAAGATCGCACCTCTCCTCTCCAGGGCTGTTGCACCAAGAGCCACGGCCACAGCAAGTCTTGCTCGCTTGCTCGCTGACACAGCGACCCCACTGGTTCGCCAGCCTTGCGTTGCATATTGATTGTCTCCTCCTGCCTCGCTCGCCCGCTCGGTGGACGGCTGGCTCGTGCATGAGAGGCCAAGAGAGGGCGGGGCGCGCACGGGGAAGTTGAGTAATCATCATCGACCGTCAACATTCGTCAACCGTGCACCGAATGCGAATCTGAAATCGAAATCCCGGGTCTGGAAAACGGTATGCTGGGGAGGTTGGACTGGACACCTGACCTGCTAGGTACGGGTAGTATCCTGCCGTCATACCAGATCTACCAGCAAGGGCCAAGGTGGGTGCTCGTACGGGTTGCGATTCAAGGTGGGGACAGCCGAGACGTGCATATGGGGGACAAAGGTCCATGTTTGTACATAGGACTTCGAGGGGCGTATATTACTATGTAGGTACGTATCCTCCAAGCCTCAGCCAGATCCGAGGCATGAGAAGCAAGCCCAAGTATATAAGCCGTGCTTTCCTCTCTCCCTCCCTCCCTGCTTCTCTTCAAGATACCAAGTCTGTGTCCAAATCCACGGGCAACGATACCCACGAAGCCTCCTGAGCACTTCTGTGATTGGTAAAGGCACATTCCAATCCCTTGTGCTCTTTTACCGTCAGGCATTCATTCCATCACCATGCCTCTGTGGCGGATCTTTTCTCACCCATCCACCTTCTCCTCTTCCCAGAGGGAGGGCATCTCCAAGGCCATCACTGATCTCTACGTCTCCCGCGGCCTCCCGCCCTTCTACGTCGTTATCCTGTTTATCGATGTGGACGAGAAAGGTTGTTTCGTGGGAGGCGAGTCGAAGAAGAATTTTGTGAGAATAGCGGTCGAGCAGATTGCTAGAGTCATGATGGGGCCGGAGACGGAGGAGGGGAAGGCTAGGAGAAAAGCCTGGATGGATCGAATCAATGGCGTACGTGTCCTTTTCCCTCTGTGCTCGTCTTTTTGAACATTTTGAGTGGACCCCTCTCAATCGGTTCACATCTTCTGGGAGTTGTTTCAACCTCGATTCGGTTTCTTCGGAGTTCCGGCTGATGACAATCCTGTATAGGTTTTGAAACCGTACATCATCGACAGAACGGAGCTAGAATGGGAACTACACATCTATGAGACGCCTCGTGATCTCTGGAGAATCCAGGGTTTGGATCCTCCACCGCCATTCTCCAAGGAGGAGATGATGTGGGCTGAGAAGAACAAGGCTGTCCCATATGAAGTCGAGACGTCCTGACTCCGACACTGTCATGTGGCCATCGGGGAGGTGTCGAGAGGCCGCCTTGAGGAAGATGTACTGTGCATCCTTTTTTCACACAAGTTTTGGAGCAAAATACCACAACGCTGCAAGTCCGGAAAGAACAGTCACTCCGGCCAGTTGTTGAGCCAATTGCGGTTTTTCTGAGACCTTTATTCTTCCAGCTGCGTCCCGCTGCTTCGACAGGACCCTTCTTGTAGTGCCATTGCTCTCACTCGTCCTTCGCTGCAAAACATCAGACATCAGTGTCTGGTTGCTCTCCTGAGCCGCCGCGAATGTCTCATATTCCTGTACCAGTCGCTTGAGACCCTCGATATCGTCTTTCAGGCTTTCAACATCTGATTGATTTACCTGAATCTCAACGCTCTGGACATTTCCAAAGAAATCGACGACCCTTCGACTCCTTCCCGCATGCTCCCCTCCCGGGAACAAGTCCCATCTGACACCAGGATTCGAATGGATCTTCTGCACATCGTAGCTGTCGAACAGATCCCCCAGCGTCTTGTCTGACGTCGGCCCCGTGACCTGCGTCTCCAGAAACTCCAAGACATAATACGTCCATCGGTCAATGACGGCCACGCCGACGTCATTATCCGCGTGGTGGGAATACGAGCTCTCGTCTTCTTCCGAGGACCCCGTCGCGATGATCCCCGGAGCGTAGAATTGTCGATAGAGCGTATTTGCCTGACACGTGTCGATCATGAACAACATTTCGTTGTATCTCTTCTTCTCTCTCATCTGGGAAAACGCGTCGGCCAGATCCCAGCTCGAAATCTCCTCGCTATCTTGAAACTTCAAAAACTCGCTGCCTCCATGGCCCGTCATGTATATCAGGATGTTGCTACCCTCGTCTGTTTGTAGTCTCTTGCTTGCGGGAACACTCTCCTCCCAACGATCGGTCAACAGGCGGATAAAGTTCTCCACCGTGACTTCGTAGCCGCGGTAGTCGACCTCGACGTTCTCGCCATACAGGTCCATGCGTCTGTCCGCGTTCGAATAGACGGTTCCGGAGAAGGCATTTCTTGGGTTGCAGGCCATGTCGTCGGGCAGGAGGAGAAGGATCTGAGAATCAGGGATGCCAAGCCGTTTGACAGTACGGTAGAGAGAGAGCGTGTTGGCAAGATGCCGGTAATTGAACCAAAACCGAGAGGTAGAGACCAGGACAGCCCAGTTAGAGGTATGAGCGGCACAGGCGACCGCGACAAGGATGAAGAACGCCCATAGCGAACGTGTTGGCGTCATGATGTCGAGGGGATCAGAGGATTGCAAGTATCTTTCACCAAGACAGTGTTGGAGGAGGATAATGCAAGGATTTCATCCCTCATCCCCTTCCTTCATTCCATCCAGAAGCACAGAGTAAAACCACGGTAAGTAGGTACACATCCTAACATCGATTGGAAAGAAGTTGGTAAGCACCGCGAAGCATTTGGAGCGCAGTCAGGAGGTCGGCGTTCGGAAAATCTTTCCTCCGTAGGACCTCTGAAGTGCACCACAGCAGGGCATGTACCAAGTATCTTCAGGCCCCCCCCCCCCCAAAAACTATTCACTGTCATCGTGTTCTCAAGGAATATAAGAGCGACTATGGTTGTCTGGTAGCTCACATGTTGGCCTCGTAGTCTGCACTTCGCCGCCACGACTCGACTGTGTCAGCCACCAGAGGTGGTCAGCTACTCTGCTTTGATGTACGGTAGAAGCCTTAGGTATGTCAATGCTTGATAGACCGCGAGGGACGAATACGGAGTATGTGTTTTATGAATGTGGTCGTGTCTAAGAAGGATCTCTCCCTATGAGAATATGAAGCTTTCCCTACGAGACTTTTCGTTCTGGAACCTTTCAGGCATGGGGGTGATGTCGTGAAGCCTGTTAGAAGATTCAAGAACACATCTTACTATCCTTGATGCTGGTATGCTGTCCGAAAGTAACCTGGTCAACTGTCGAAGCTCGCAATGGTACCATCCTCAAAATTCGTCTACTTGGTTATCACTCGACCTGTCTTACTGAGTTTTCTGGGACAGCCGACCTGTGGTTTAGCTGATTCGGGCACTATGACAGCTGATTGATTCGATTCAGTCATCTGGCATCGCTGAACGAGAGGTGAATTGGAAGGGGACTCTAGACAGGATGGAGAGATGCCGCGGGTGAGGTAGGAGTTCTGCGCGGTTTCCAGGGCGGACGGTTGCAGAGACGTGCTGTCACTAGATGTCTTGACAAGTGAGGGAGTCTTTTTGTGTGATATTTGAGGTGATGAGAGAGTGATGGACCAAGACAAAGAGAGCAGCAAGTCTCGCTGACCTTTCACCAAAAGAACACGGTCACAGTCACGGCAACCTCCTACCGTGAATTACTGTGTACACTCCGAAGATCCCACAGAGTTGAACGGGACGGATGTCAGAGGTTGGAGAGGGTCGTGGTGATGGTTGAGGAAGTGAAATTTAAGCTGTGCGAGAGTTGAGGTTGAAGGAGGAATGAGCGGCGACGACGAACAATTCGCTTGGCGGAAATGAGTCGACAGCCAGCGAAGCCGCCACATCAAGTGAAGTAAAAGAAAGACTTTTTGTTCTGCAAACCAGGGTATCTGAGGTAATGTCAATGAGCAGGTGAGGATGGCTCACGCAATGCTATATCTTTTCATACAGGGTGCTGGGCTCCTCTCTTTCATGTCAGAGGCGCCCGCTAAAATAACAGATGAGCTAGAAGAAAGGTCATGATCACAAGCCGACAATCCCCCATGCGTCGGGCTTGAATATACTGTTTATTAAGGCCCCTCGCGGACGATCAAATCTCGCTCATCGCGATCCAGTGCCAGAGGAGTCGTCGCTAATAGCGAGCCTGGAACCCCAAGTGTCGAGGAGGGGTGCCTTGAATGGTAACACTGATCCGGCTCCTCTCATTGCCGTCGATTTCAAGAGGAGAGGGCGGTTTGGACGGGGCGTGGATTTCAAATACTTGGGTCCTAGGCGCGTTCCTGTCACCTGGGCCCCTTCCTTCTAGAGCTTTGGTGTCCAATTCGTATCGTGGAGGAAGGTCACCTGTGTTGCCACTAGCCAGTTTTATAAGCCGTCGGTGGCGTCTCGTTCGAATATATAGGGCCGCGACCAGAGCCCCTCCGAGGACTATGGCCCCAATGCCGATGCCGATCCCTGCGGCTGCAGCGGTACTGAGGCCGCCAGACCCCTTGTCGGAAGATGAAGCAGGGGTCGAGAGAGGCTGTTGCCCGGTAGTATTGGGATTGAGAGGACTTGATTTCAAACGTCAGTCATCATGTCTGTAGAGATGGACCAGGGTTCGATGTAGCTCACCTGTCAAGTATCTGCAACACACCGTTAGAAGTGAGATAGTCTCGCGTCTTAATGAGAGACGTGTCAACGTAGAACTGGCCGTCAGCCTCGGTCATAGTCGCAGATATTCCGTCCAGCGTCGGAATCTTGGTGTTGTTCTTGAACTCCGACGAGTAATAGACCGTTCCCTGAGAGATGCTGTACTCTAAGATGGACAGGAGATCAGTTTCCGAGAGACCGTCCCATCCTGTAAACCCGGCCGAGAATTTAGATGAGTTGGGCGCGAAGATGGTGAGATCCGAAAGCGAATTCACGATCTAGATATCGCCATCAGCCTATACAAGCACTTTACAGGGCCAATAACTCCTCCAGGAAATGGGGGACTCACATTGACTGTTGGAGAACTGGGACTGAGGAAGCCTCCTATACTCATCAATGCCACAAGATCCGTCAACCCGGCCTTGGTGACGGTTGCTGGAAACGAAATGGGGATCGTGAGCACTGTGTCTATAATGTGAATGAGACCTCCCAGGTAGAAAATGTCCTTCGTCGATCAGCATTGCCGTCGCACTGCCATTGTAAATGGAAGGAAACCTACAGCCTCAACCACATGAGACTCTGCCTTCACCCCGCTCACGACAGTGGGCAGATTGTTCAATGCCGTTAATTCCACTACTTGCCCGCCTGTGACATTGGTATAATTGGAATTGGTCAGGAGGGTTGGCGCAAACAGCGGCTGTAGGCCAAAAGAGGCAGATGGATGTGTTCCATGGGCGATATGGTATTCCAGCAGTGCCCGGACCGCGTCGGTATCGTTGGTCAAATCTGGATTCTCATTGCCGAGGGTAGCCAGCGCTTGGTCATTTGGAATGAGGACTGCGAGGAACTTAGTCTGGGTCGCAAGCAACAGGACATTGTTTGTCAAACCACTGAAGGTCCCCTGGTTCAAAGTATTGACCAGATCTGTAAACTGCTCTAAGAGCCCAATAAAGGTGGAAATACCAGTTTGCTGTTTCAAGATGGTGAGAACATCTTGATCCGCCGCCAAACAACAGGACGCAAAGCCGAGAGTGGCAAATGTTATCCTAGACAGCTTCATCATGTATGTTTGCAGAGCATTGGACAGAGGTCAAGAGACATGACTGTACGCCGACGAGATGGATATATTAAGTGGGCTCGAATGATGATGGAGACCTTTGTTATTTGGCGGGCACACGAATCCACCAGCTCCACGAGGGAGCTTCATCGCGAGTGGTGTTGCTGGTGCGACTCTTGAGACGCGGTCTTCATGCTTCAGGAGACAGTGAGACGCAAGACAATGCTTGCGTGGTTGGAAGGGCGGCAGATGCTCGGTACAATAACATGGGTCTGATGCCCGCTTACCCTGTCCAGACTTTGTCATGGGAGGGACCAGAAAAGAGGGGCCTCTAAGACGAATCTGCCTCCGGAAAGAGCATGCCGATGGGATAGATGGTGGAGAAATGGGGCCAAGAGGCAGGGATCTGGATAAACAAGATGTGCCGTGAGGAAGCACTCATGCAGGAGGGATAGTTGTTGAGGGCATGTTGTGAGATGTCCCTGGCAAAAACGCCCCAAAACGTCCTTCCTAGCAGTGTTTCAGCCTGTGAGCTAGTGTCTTTTCCTGCAAGGGACCGTCGATGGTGTCGACAGAAGACTGGAGGATTTCTCGCCGGCGCAGCGCCGTGCAGCTCGGTGGCGCCCAAGCAGGCGTTGGAACGCCTAATGACCAGCCAAACCAAGCCAAAGCCAAGCCCAAATCATAAAGTAGAGTGAAGTCTACTGAGGACGACGAACCGCCCGAATCCTTCCCTCGTATATATGGAGCTCCTCGTACCGAGCGCGGGTGCCTCGGTGCCATGCGTTCGTCTGCAAGATGCAGCGAGCACGGAACTTAGTAAGGCGTCTTGCCGGAAGGAAGGAAAGGAATGATTCAAAGGGGAGGGGGAATACTTAGCTTGCCCAGCCGATGCCAATGTGCTAGGCAGGGCAAATCTCCCTTTTCCATCAGGATTTTCGCCGCATGCTCAGCGACCTTCCTCACTCGGTCTCTTGTCTCACTTCCTTTTAATTTTGGCGAGAACGCGCAATTTCGGGGTCGCTGTCGGCGAAAAAGACAATAGCTGACAAAGAGGATAAATGAGATGGTTATGGATTCTGTGGTGTCGCTATGTATGAGTATGGGTTGACTTGAGCGCCGCTCCTTGTCTACCCATGGCAAGCCAACCGTCGCTGACCACTCGGGGAGGGACAACTCCTTTCCAGAGCTTTGCCCCTTTGGCGCTTCGATGCAGAGCTCGAGGAATACAGGAAGCTTGCAGGACAGGTAGATCGGGGCTTGTGCGAAATAGAACGTGGCCTTTATCATTCGGTACCTGTGCCGAATACGAAGGACATGCCAAAAATGAAGTTAGTAAGGTTTGCCCTGGCAGCCTTGCTATGAGCCTTGCTATGATGGGTAGAACCAGTTTTTTTCCTTAGATGGAGAAGTTTCCCCTTTGGGGCGTGTCCGTGCTGAATACACTTACTTGTAGGGCAACATTCAGCCTTGCCAACGTCATGGCCCTTCAGCTTCTCTCCCAATCATTCACCCACCTATATAGTAACCATATCTCCCAGGAGTAGCGATATAAATAGCCCCTGACTCGGAACGTCTTTCTCTACTCCCTTCATGACGGCCGTCTTCATCACCGTGATTCTCTTTAGTCTCGCAATCTCGTCACTGATCTCCATCCTCTACAAACCACCAAAATGGCTAATCTGCTGGCTTCAAGCCCGCTACCCCAGCATCCTATTCTACGTCCCAACAGATGAAAAGATCGTGGCCCTGACCATCGACGATGGGCCTTCTCCTTACACTCTAGAAATTCAGCGAGTGCTCAAGGCGCACGGTGTCAAGGCCACATTCTTCGTTATCGGGTCACGCATCCCCGGCCGCGAGGAGATCCTGAGAGAATTAGTCATGGATGGTCATGAACTGGCAAACCACGCCATGCACGATGAACCGTCCGTACGCATCCCGCCTGAAGAGCTCGCGCGACAGATCCAAGCCGTGGAGAGACAGATCGAAGACATCTACGCCTCAGTCCTGGATCTGGATCTTTCCTCTGCTGTGAAGCCGCCCAGGTATTTCCGTCCTGGGAGCGGCTTCTTCAACGCAGGAATGCTCTCCCTCCTGGAGCAACCGTATCTAAAGTATAAGCTCGTCCTAGGAAGCATTTATCCCTGGGACGCGCAGATTCCGTGGGCCAAGTTGAACGCCTGGCATATCCTTGGTAGCATGACACCAGGCGCAACCATCGTCATTCATGATAGAAAGTGGACGGCGCCCATGTTGAGGGTTGTCTTGTCAGGGCTGAAGAGACGAGGCTGGAGTGTTGGGACTGTGACGGACCTGCTGGGCCAGTCGACGGAGGCCATCTAGGGTTAGACGAGATGGTGAGGAGCATCGTCGGGTGGACAAAACACCGTCGACCAAGCGAAAGAATATACCACATTCAAGGGGCAGTCAGGATGTTTCTTTCGCAACCTAAACAGATTGTATCCGTCAGACGCCGAGTATGTTATGTATGTATCTTGTTCCGACCCGCATCGCCATGCAGCGAGAAATTCAATAAACACACGATGGGCATACAAACGCATCTGGGCATCAACCGTTCCATTTCACGCCCAGAAAGCCTTTTTGCCCAAATTCATCAGCTTTCATCCTTGGTTCACAGTCGTAACATGAGCCATCAAACTTCGCACACCTTCCAATGAATAAAGAAAGCCCAAACACAAGGTGCACCCTGCTTGCTTTCAATGTACTCTCTCAACGGCCACCATCATCTTAATCGTCCGAATATCCATCCCCATCCCCATATCTCTCCGGCCCCGCTCTCACAGAGACCAGATCATCGTCCAACAACCGCCTTCAGACTCAGACCCTCCAGAAACCCAGCGAGGTCCTCCTTCTTCACCTCTACTATAGAGTGATCAAAGGAATCAATTCTGACCCGCGCGTTCGTCTCCTCGACAACCTCTTGAAAAGCAATCCCAAACCGATTGTGGCCATAACCTCGCTTGCGTCTCCTCTCTTGTTCTGCTTCGTCTTCTTGGTCGTCGTCCGACTCCGAATCAGGCTCTGATTCGGATTCTGTATCTTCCTCCTCGGCATCAGAGTCTTCGCCCAATAATTCCCTTTGTGTCTTTCGGGCGGCTCGCTTCTCCTCTCTGATCTTCCTCTTCTTCTCCCTTTCCTCCTCTCTCTTTTTCCTTCGTTCCTCCTTCTCCTTCCTAGTTTCGATATCTTCTCCACCGCCAATTCCTCCACCGGTGCCCACAACAATGTACGTACCTCTCGCCTCATCCAACGCTGCAAGAACCAACGGCGTTGGTGGTTCTGTGCCACCTTTATCTCGTTCACTCACCGCAATTGCCTCGCCGACCCATAACGCTAACTTTACTAACGCTCCCGGACTGTTTGCAAAAAGGGCCAGATCTGGTCCTTCTTTGACGACGCCCATACGAAAAGCACGTAAATGGCGGATCTGGTGTTTCATCAGCAAGGAAGAGCCGGTGCGAAGAATTGAGCGCAGAAGATGTTGCGCTGCCGGGATGGCCGTGAGGAGATGTGTGGGATGGTTTGGTGCGAGGGCATCATAAGCGGCGAAGAAGCGTGGAAGCAGTGTTTCCGAGCGCTCGGGAATGTCATCAGAGGTGCTTGTTTGCTGTGAGGAAGTTGCATACGATGTGGACGAGGACGATATGGTTGAGACAGGTGAGATGTTATTTATGCCGATGTCAAGTATTGCTCCCAGTATGACGCCCACGTCCATGGCCGAGAGTTGGGCTTTCCAGCCCCAGGAGCGGATGAAACCCCATCCTTCTTGTTCGTAGGCTGCTCGGCCCGACGCAGACGGGACAAGGCCGTCGAGGCCATACATGCCAGCATACTTCAGAAGGCGGTCACGGAGCGTTTTCTTGAGATCCATGTCCATGTGTGTATAAGTTTGTTTGCATTGAGTCAAAGACACACCCATCTTGGCAAGGAGTTTGTGCAGTCGCTTGATACCGGATTCGTTCCAGATATGCAATCGAGAGGCAAGATAAGGGGAATGCAGCATGCTATCATATAGAGACCAATGCCTTAGAAGAAGAAATCGGGGATCCGGTGTCAGTCGGATGGAGGTGTCGCTGGGTGAACTTGTGCCACCAGTACCGGGTGATATTGCAGGTGACTGATCTGCTGGTGGAGGATTCAGGCGTCTGACCTCGTCGCGGAGTAGAGCATATGTTTGAGAAGACCGTGTCGTCCGCCACCCTCTGTGCTGCTCATGTGGGAGGGCCATTTCCCTTGACACACTTGTCCCGAGACCGGTAGATGTGTGGCCAGACAACTCGAGCGAGGTGACGCCGATGATAGCAAGCCACAGGATGTCATTGTCTTCACGCCCCAGGTCCGACGCCAGAGAGTACGCCAGAGTGGAGACTGGCTCAGAGTAAGAAGTACCTAAACTGCTGTATTGCCTGAGTACCGATTCATGTTCTTCCCGTAACTTTCGCAGTCGTCTGCGTAGCTGTATTGCTGTCTGTGGTTTCGGTGACTGTGCTTTGGACGCTGGTGACACTGGTTGAGAGGACGAAGGACTACGGCTTCGCGGGGACCCGATAGAAGATCCTGAGTTGCTCCTCCGCCGTTGACGCGGTCTTTCTTCGTCTCCTTCGCTGTCTCCATCTTCGTTATCGCGATCGGACCAGGACTTCCGTTTCCTGGATGACGAGCTGTCTTGGGCTCCTTCCTCTGCTTCCCTTTCCTCGTCACAATCGCTTTCACCTTGATCGACTTGAGGCATTTCTGCTAGCGCACAGTACGCGTTTCTTTCTGTCTCCAGGTCGCCAGCAATGTCTCCATCGTCAAAGACTATTATGCCACCCTTGCCGGACTTATAGGATTTTTGGATGCATCCTTTCTCCACTCCCCGAGTGCGTGGTCTCGCTTCGTTGGTAATGTCACCCAAAGCTGCTTCAATCGGTTGCCCGCCAAAGACATTGTCTAGATTGTACGGTCTTCTGGCATCCAGCACCCACACTTCCACTCCGCACATTGTCTCACTCGACTCTTCGTCCTCTAAACCTAGAAGAGCCCCTAGGTCCACTAGTCCTCCAACACCGAGGCAGATGACGAGGCCACCACTACCGCCTTCTGTAGTTTTCATGGGCCGCACCAGTTCTTCGCCGGCCTTGGACAGGTCGGCATATCCCGAGACCGGCTGTATCTTGTGAGGGATGTAGTCGCGCTTGAGCAGCGCTGTTATGATGCGGCACGCGCATAATGAATCAGGTTCGAGAGCAACCAGGAGCAGGACGGGAGGAGAGAGTGGATGGTAAGAGCGGATGAGGTTTGTATAGAGGTGTGAGATCAACGGGCGCGGGAGGTACATGGCGGGATTGGAGTCGCGAGCAATACTGGTGGCTGTTTGACCGTGGTGTTGCAGGGCATTACGATGAAGAATTAGGAGCACATTATGGAGAAGGTTGTCTCTGGGAAGTGTATTGCGTCCAGGGATGCCCTAATTCTGTCGTCCGTTTGTCTCTGTGACTGCGTCGTAAGGATTATGCTCGAGGTGAGTATGTTAGTTATGGCACGGAAGCGATTAGACCCGTCGCGTGTAAAAGACGCGTCCCAGAGTTTGTTGCTAACAAACGTCATCCCACTCGCTGGGTTCCGGCCGCAGCCCAGACCCACCAAGGCTCGCATCACACAGATGGACAGATCAGCTACTATCAGAAGTACAGAGTAGACGAGACAAAATAATGCTTCAAAATTGTACAAAAATCCCAGATTCGCTCCAAGTACAGACACGCGCGTATCCTTACAAAACGCTCACAGACTCAACAAAAGCCGCATTATCCCCCACATCCTCCTCATGCTTCTGACAGTCGGCGGCCTTATTCAGGGCGAACAGGGCTCGAACGGCGGACAATCTCCCTCACAACCACCTCCGAGATGCCATGATGTCCAGGACCAGTAGGATGGAAGACCCTCCACTTTTTCATTTCCGGCCATTCGGGAACGACTTGAGGATCAGGCATACCCTCTTCACCACCCAAAGGTTTTTGAGATGTAGAGCCAACAAGGGACTCTGCAGCCTTGGGCGGAGGCATGTTGAAGAACCAAGTGTCGCTCCTGTCAATCTGTGGTTCCTCGACCCCGGGTTCGCAAAATCGATGGCCATCGAAGGCACCATCAATATCCAGATAAACAGCGCCATGAAGCTCTGTCGTCGCTTTGATCACATCGTTCAACATCATCACCAGCTGGTTGAGTGCCCTTCTCTTGGATTTGGTCAGGTAGTCCAATGGCCTGGTTTGACTGAAGGTGGCAGTGTCGCAATAGTCCGTGTCCTCATTGAAAAACCTAGCATAGCCGGTAACGATCAGAAGCGCGCCGGGTTTCAAATTCTGGACGGCCCCGGAGATGATGTTCTCTAGATTTTGAAGCGCCGATGTCTCGATGATTTCTCGGGCCTTGACAAGCTGGGCTTCACAGCCAATCGACGGCTGCCAATGATAGACGCACTCATTCAAAACCACAAAAAAGTTGACATCGTTCCCGCTGGCCGTCAGGGTAACAAGGTCCGAGTCGCCAATATAAGGGACCTGGTCTCGCAGGATGACGGTGCTGGTCAAACCGCCACATGCAAGGTGCTTGAATCTGGACTTTTCGATGTTGATCATAGAGTGGTTGGCGACTTGGATGGGATATGCATCAGAGTAACGGCCACACCGGAAATCCGCATATGGTGGCCATCCGGGTGTGCCCGCTCCAGCTCCCGAAGCGTAGGAGTCCCCAATCGCGGCGTAGGAGCGTGGTGATCGATACTCGGCGCGGAGGTGGGCAGGAACTGAGTAGCCACCCAGGCAGAAGAGAAAGAGCAGAAAGGATACAAAGCTGACGGATGCCATGGAGAAGGATTCAGAAGATACACACAAACAAAACGCCCGAGGCGCTCATAGCCCTTCGCATCATATAAACTCTCTCTACCGAGTGTGAGGAGGGGGGTGAACGGAGATGCGGAGGACGAGGAGGACGGCCGAAGCAGATAAAGAACGAGGTTGCCTTGGCCTGCTGACTCATTCCCTTGCCGCACTTCTCGGATTGTCAGACACGTCGATCTGGAGCCTTCGTCGCCTTTCAACGGAGCACGTGGCGTAAAATGGCCTGTCAGACAACCCATCATTTTAGAAAGCGTCATGAGTCGTGGTCGTCTGACCATTCTCGCAACTCTCACTGCTACTGGATGCCATCAAACACAGTCCGTTGCTGGACCTCGAGTCTCAGGCTGAGTCAAGCCTTTCGTCAAGCATCTGCACCGCTCTCACTGCGTTTGAATTACTTCCTTCGTAACGCTCCCGGCCTGTCACCATTCGATGGCCGGCGAGGAATGAAGCGATCCGCCACTGCCAAAGCTCGCCCTAAACTCCCAGATTACTGTGATGTTGAGCCACGGCGTGATGATACGGGGAAACCCATCTGGCCTGCTCCGGCGGCCGCTATGGAGGATGCTAGAGCATTCATAAAGGAATGGTGTGACCGGCCCTTTTCGATTTGCCCTCGTCCGGCCCTCGAACTCGTGGACAGCAATGCTAACTTGAACAGCGCCGCAAGTGGCAAGAAAGCACTGATTGTACCAGACAAAGACGCCGACGGCCTCTCATCGGGCGTCATCCTATATCGGACGCTGACGAGTCTCGGCCTCGAGCCATCCTTGATCGACGTCCATCTGATTCAAAAGGGTTCCACAATCCATAGTCAGCCAGAGCGGGAAGCCATGGCCGCCAAAGGTAGTTGAGGGCTAGCATCCAATTGATTGAATGCATATTCTAACAATCAATCGAGGCCCGGCGTATGTTGTCGTCCTCGACCAAGGATCTATAGCAGCGCCACCCGTTGTCGATTCACAGTCCACGAAATCTTTGATCATCGACCACCATTTGAGTGACCACTTTCCAGAAGGCGCTCAGGTGGTCTCTGCCTGCCATTATCCCCCGGTTTCAACATCGTCCCTTCTCACTTACGAGATCTGCAGGGCGCTTGCCCCGGACATTGCCTCATCCTGTGCCTACCTTGCCTGTATCGGCACTCATGGCGACCTTGGAAACACCCTGAAGTGGTCTCCGCCATTTCCTGACATGAAAGAAACATTCAAAGCATTCACCAAGAAATCCATCAATGATGCAACTTCGCTCGTCAACGCACCCAGGCGAACCGCCAAATATGATGTTATCACTGCATGGACTGCTCTTCTCCGATCAAAAGACCCCAAAGACTTGTTAAGCAATGGCCGACTTCAGAGCGCCCGTGCAGAGATAAATGCAGAGGTCGAGTTAAACACGCATACTCCTCCAAAATTCAGCCCGGATGGACGAATTGCTGTCCTGCGGATCAACACACCGGCGCAGGTCCATCCGGTCATTGCCACTCGGTGGGCCGGATATCTCCACTCAAAGGCCTTAGAAATAGTCCTTTGCGCCAATTCGGGTTACCTCCCTGGGATGGTGAACTTCTCCTGTCGTATCGCCCGATGCGCAAGGTCGAGGGACCCCCCCGTCAACATCATTGAGAGCTTGAAAGCTGCTGCAGATCTCTCGTCCGACGGCCTGAGAGCTAGGCTCGGAGAGAGTTTTGCCAGAGGTCATAAAGAAGCGAGCGGTGGGGCTGTGCCTGCCGACGCTTTCGAAGAGTTGATGGCCTTGTTGAGGATTGGTGAAAAGCCGCTGAAGACTGATGATGCGGTTGAGCCGAGAGCAAAGAAAGTCAAGACCGTCGAAAAGAGTCCGCAGAAAAACACACTTTCGCACTACTTCCGGAAGCTATGAATGACCTTCAGCTGGCAGAAGGCATCATGCCCCATTGAATCAACTGGAATCATCTTCGGTGCACCCCGCCGACCTTGGCATTTGGTATGAGTCCTGCAACTCTCGCAGAACAGTCGGCAAAGTCTCCTCGAGAGCCATATTTACGAGCCACTGGAACATCATAGGATCACCGCCGAAAAGCGGGCCGCCCATCCTTTCGGAGAGCCTCTAGGGTAGATGGTTCTCGAGGAAGGTGTTATAATCTCGGACACTCTGCATTGTGGCCGGGGGATTTGCGCAATCCACATAGGGAGTATGGGGACGCTTTGCACCAGGGAAGAGGATGTCGAAAATTCCGAACCACACGGACGTGGCTTCCCTGCGCATTTTCCTTCGCTTGACTGCTTTGTATTGTTCGTGGGTCATCTTCTCTTGAAAGGGGCAATCCCTCAAAGTGCAGGCAGGCCTGGCCCGAGCGTGGACACCGCATTCGTTTTCCGACTCGAATTCAGTATAGCAGGATGAACAGTAATATTCAGGTCGTCGATGGACTCTGTACAGGTGCTGCTTCAAGCGGGGAATGTTTGTCAGACATACACTTCGGCATCGGCGATATGCTTTTTCATGCAAATTCTGGTTCATTTCTGAATATCTGTTTGGGTCGTATTTGGCATAAGGACAGGCAAGAAGACCATCTGACGCAACATCATCCGGGATCGGACTCTCGATGCGTGGTCTCCGTGGTCTTCTTGGCTGGTCTTTATTGTCATGTGCACGCCGTTTCTTCTTTTCGGACGATCGAGCTGTCCCGGTCGCCTGTTCAGTTGACGGGCGAGACCCTACCGCAACCTGCTCCCCACAACTGGAGCTTGTCGATGATCCTTGCGGGGTCGGAGGGGTGCATAGTTTCATCTCTCGGCTCGCAGAAACGAACCCTTGCATCAAGTCTTGTGCAACTCCTGAAGCCAGGTTTTCAATCTCTCGTTCACTTTCGGGGTCGATGCATGGTGGGGATTGAGAATTGAACACGAACGACTCCTCGCCGGAGGAAAATATGTCCATCTCTTGGGACAGTGATGAGGTGGTCGTGGTGAATTCTGTATCAGCATTCACTGGGTCGCGGTTCCTGATGGCTTGGTTTGCTTCCATATGGCTGGAGAAACCGACGAGGTCGTCCTGATCACTCTCATTACCTGGAGGCAAGGACGGCGAAAAGAAGCCATCAAGGCCTTGTTTCACAGGTGTGGCAGTTAGGGTGCCTTCAGGCGCTTCCGTCAGCGGCGATCGCGTCGCAGCGGTGAAGGAGCGGACCGAAGCCGAGCTGGTGCGGTTGAGAGATCCTCGCTGCTGCCTGTCGTTGTCATTGATGCTACAGGTCATCCCATCTTGGGGTTCCCAACGGCGAGTGTCTGGGTCGGAAAAGGTGGAGCCCGAAGTTATTGCTAGTTTTCGACCGGACAGGCCCTCGAATGAGCAAAATGTTGAAGAAATGCTCTGCTTGGAATCTCTAGGAGGAGCTCGGATGGCGGTGTCTCCTTCCAACCCGCTTTTTGAACACGGTTCATCTTCATTTGCGACCGTTTGCTCATTCTGTACCCGAGGAGTTTGATTCTGAGTCTCTAACTTCGCCCTCTGAGGCATACCCAGGAAAAGGAAGGATGACAAATGCTTCATGTTGAAAATCGGAAAATATTGGGGTATTGATGCCAATGCTCTCACATGCTCCACATAAGCATGCACAGCAGCCAGAAGGGGGCTTTCATATGAGACACCTCTCTCGCAATCTTCGCATTTCACCTTACCATATTTGAAGGCCCATCTACTCGCATCGAATATCCATTTCTGATCTTGCGACGAGTGAGAGTGGTGCATATGGAGACACAATGCAGAATGGCTGTACTGCTTTGCATCGGCACAGAAGAAACACCCGTCTAGGTGATATGAAGCAGGATCTCCATATGTTCTGATACATGGCCAAACTTTCGAATTTTCATCAGATCTGCAGGCTCCGCAAGGTTCGTCGCCGTCGCACTTGCAGAGTTAGCTCATCACCGCAAATCTCTGCTCAGGCCAGAACCTTACTCGGTCATTCGACATAACACAATGTAAGCAAGGACGAACGGCTGGCCTTTCGTAGTTTGGCTTTATGGAGGCGGCGATAGAGTTGCCAGCTTCTGGAGTCACCATAGGTCTAGTGCGAACACGCCGACGCCTTAGAAGTCGCCTTACGCGCCCGGCAGGATGAGATTCCATCGTGGGCTAGCTCGAGGTTGAGAGAAGTCGAAAGTATCTCGACGTTTTTGCAGCATAAACGATGACAACAATGCTGTTCGGAGGAGGTTCTGTCCCGTGGAAATGAGGATCCTAGTTTGATACGTCCTAAGAATTTCTAAGAGAAACAAGCCAAACGAGAGGGCAGGAGCTGGCGTTTTTGTAGATGTAGCTCTGGAGAAGGATCCACTGACTAATAACAGGCGGAGCAGCAGCTTAAGAAACAGTCGGAGCTGAAAAGTCACAAACGTGTGTACTTGAACTGGAATCCTTCGAACAGGGTGCACAGCCACGGAAGGCGTCCCGGTACATCAATGTCCCATTGGTCGTGAAGCGAGAATGCTATACTCTGTACGGAGTAGTAGTTGTAGGCGAATAATACGTCCAGCACCAGCGACAACAAGAAGAAGCGCAAAGACAGCTTTCGGTGGCGGCAGTGAGTATGACAATGTGTTGGGATTTTCTACATCTGCTCTCTTCCAGCGAGACTCAGTGCGAGTTCTTGCTGCTCGGACAAGAGTTTCCGCGATTTGCTCCGGCTTTGTTTGATGAAAGCCAGGCTCGGGCTCGGGGGGGCTCTGGGAACAATACATCGTCGATGCACTTCTTATTTGGCGAGGGTGAGAAAATTCAACAGAAGCGTCAAGTGGAGATTGCTTTGGACGACCGTAGCAGAGGAAGAGGATCAGGAAGCAGCAAGAGCAGACGTTGAGATCCAAAAGACTATAGAGAGTGGTTGTGGACTATTTCTGGGTTCCACAACGGACACGGGTAGATAACATTCCAGGCAGCAAAGACTCTACCGCGCAAGAAGATCAAGCACATTAATTACATTGTGGGAAACTAACTAACTTGGGTGCTACCTCTCAAATTGCTTTACACCCAACCCCTTTGATCTGATCGACTCGACATGTCCGCTTGAACATACCTATGTATGTAGGTAACTCACGCGGCTCAAGCTCTCACACCTGATCTCCGTGCCTCCTCCTGACGGTGACCATGACGTCCTTCTGCTGGTGGAACCAGCCCTGCCAAACGGTCCACTCCTTGCCGTCCATGTGCATCTCGAATTCGAAATCCCGCAAGACGGCCGGCAACAGTTTGTACATCTCGGTGGTGGTGATGTGTTTTCCGATGCAGATCCTCTTGCCGTACCCGAAGTGCATCATGTGCCTCTCCATGTTCGCCGCCGCCTTCTCGCCGTCCCGGAACCAGCGCTCGGGGATGAACTGTTCGGCGTCGGCGCCGAAGACAGACGTGTCGAAATGCACGGCGTTCGCGTTCATCAGCACCGTCGTGCCGCCCGGGAAGAAGCGTCCGCAGATCTCCACGCCGGGGTAAGGTACAACGCGAGGCAGGCCCGTGCCTAGCGAGCCGTGCATGCGCATTGCTTCGCGGACGACCGCATGGAGGTAGGGTAGTTTGATAGCATCGTTGTAGCGGATGGGGTATTTCAGCGTGCCGTTTGTAAAAGCCTCTTCGATTTCAGTGCGGAGTTTGGCCAGAGTGTACGGATTTTTATGCAGGTAGTAGAAAATCGAGGTCAGTGCGATGTACGTGGTGTCGGAGCCCGCCCAGATCATCGCCCAGATTTCCGTGGTGACGTCGAGAATGCCAAAGTCGTTCTTCGGGTCATTCGCAATATCGATGAGTTTGCTGAGGACATCGTTTCTATTATATGGTCTCCCCGCCGCCATGTCGTCCAGGCGTTGCTTCACGGCCGCATGGGATTGGTCAATAACGGTAAAGAATCCCTTCGCTCCAGCGCGAGTTGCTGGATAGATCATCTGGGACAAGAAGTATAGATTCCGGAAACCCCACGGGAGATTGTTCAATGCAGCGGCTGGGTTAGGCATGACGTCCATCAAATGGCACCAGTTGTTATAGTCGACTGAAGGTATCCGTTAACGCTGGACTGATATTATCCAGCTCTAATGCCACGCCCCCCCCCGAAAATGAAACAGTCTTTCAACGAGACAGGGACTTACTGTTATCTCTGATGAACCCAAAGCCACCTTCGCGACCGTAAAAGATCTCCCCAATAATATCAAAGGTGTACTTGCGAATCCAAACTGAGACATCGAAGACCTCTCCCGTCTCGGCAAAATGATCCATCTGCTTGCGGAAGAGAGCGATGACCCTGTCGACACAGGGCTCGTATTCCAGAACAGCGGCCTGAGTGTACAAATGCGCTACTGTGCGTCGTCGCCAGGTGTGAGCGGCCTCGTCCCGTTCAGCGAAGCTGTCCTTTCGCTTGGAAATATGGGTGAGGAAATTGTTGTAAAAGTCGCCCTTGGTAAACTCATACTTCGGACCGTAGATTGTCTCGATTGCAGAAGCGTCCGAGATTTGAACCTGGTTCGGAGCAAGCCGGACCATGGTGCCATATTTCTTGTGGATGGGCAGTTGGTAGTCTTGTCCTCGACCATTTCGCACGGCTCTAAAGTACCAGAGACTGGTAACTGAGGCCCAAAACGGTCCAGGTATATCCCTCAATGGGTGGAAATAGCGATTATAGATGGCGTAGCCCAGGATATAAACAACGATGCTTGGAAAAAGGATTTGAAGCCCGAAGACAACATTGTCCTTGGACAAGAGAGGTGACAACAACATCTTCTTGGTTCAATGTCAGACTGCTACACAACGCAAGTCACAGCGTAAGGGAGGGTGACATGAAGAGGAGAGAGACGAATAGGCGCTGAACGAATGCAAGCCAGTGCCTTGAAGTCCCCTTGATCTCCTCAGACACAACCGAGTTGAAAACATGTGAGACCACTGCCCACCTATCACCAGCATCCAAGGGCCTCTCCATGCATGCAGTTTCCCCAAGGGTGATCCCACCAGGGATATAGAATGCGGTTGGCCGTTAATTCATGCGTTCTGGGTCCTGCCATTGGAATGTCCTGTAGGGTATCTTGATCGGACCAAAGGGTTCAATAGTTGAGATACGTGGCATCCTCCCTGGCCATCCTGTCAGGGCATCATCACTGGATCGAGTTAGCTGTCAAGCAGGGATGATGCGAAGATTACCCATATGGGCCAAACAAAAGCTGCGCATTTATTTCCATGTAAGCCACCGCAAATGAGAAGTTTTGGGAGACCTCGATTGATATGACATGTGGAAGATGATTTGACCGTGACCGTGCAGAATCTACTACTGCATGCAGGTTGCACGCTGCCGTCGGCAGTTCGATGAAGGGCGAACGCGAGCAGCTCGAAGATGCGGGGCCGTCGACGGGATCGGTCGAACTTGGGTTGATGGGATGATAGTATTACGGGGATCAGCATGTGCGTGCTAGAGGGATCAGAGTGTAGCAGAGAGAAGGCGTGTGAGATGCTGATTGAGCCAGAGATGCGTCTAGTGATGCTGGTGGGTGTGTAGTTGATCCCAGGTCCATGGTGATGGGACGTCGACGGAAAGTCACGCGTGTGCCAAGGCCGAAGCTTCCTTCGCAACCGTCGTGTCCCTCGCCTCGGCCCTGTTCCGCCCGCGCCTCTGACCGAAAATGTTGCATTGCAGCCATCACCACGCATCTGGACATCCTAATTCTGTGCCTAGTCCTTGCCATCATTCCTGATGACGACCTGAATCACACTACGGCGTCCTCCCGCACAGCCATCATGGAGTCACTCGTTCTTCGGCCCTTGAACTCGATCGAGACTCACCTCAATGCCCTAGTCACGTCCTTTACCCAAACCAATACCTTCGCCAATGCCCCGCAACTCGCCAAAGACCTCATCGCCGATGACGACGAACTTTCCTCTGCTCTCTCTCTGCTGCAGCGTCATCAACACAACTATGCACGCATACTTGACCTCCGTGCTGAAGTCGCTACATTACAAGGCCAATTAAAGGACACGATTCGAAAGTGTGTTTCGTTCAAGCAGGAAATCGGCCAAATCAACCCGTCGATCCTCGACTCCGATTCGGACGACGAAGGCGAAGATGGGAACTCGCAAGTTGCTGAAGTCGATTACCACACCCTCCTCACTTTCGCTGCCAGGATAGGCAAACACAACACTATCGCAGCGAGGGAAGCCGAAGCTGAATCGCTACGGAGGAAGATCGCCGCAAAAACTAACAAGGAACGACCATCTCCAACTGCAGCTCTAAATGGAGTGGAACCCTCGGCCACGGGTGAAACCGCAGCTGAGAGAACAGAGGGGGGCAGAGATGAAAATCGCACGGCCGAAACAACGGCAGAACTCATGCGCATAAACAACACCATTGCCCTTCAACGCGCGCAGATGGGCATGTCCTTCCCTGATGCCGCTAGTTTGCGCGTCGGTGCCTTGGGCCAGCTCCAGCTGTTTCTCGAGCGGCAAAGGCAGCAGCGTGGGGGGGATGGAGGCGTAGGAGAAGATGAGGACAAAGCTGTGCAAGAGGCATTGGAGAAGGAGGTGGAGAGGCTGGTCAGGGAGAGTGAGGACATCGCAGAGGATACAGGCACGGGTGAGAAGATGGCGGAAACGGATGAATTGATAAATCCAGAATTGAGGAGGGCCTCGACCGTCGATGGAGAGAAGAATCACGATGCTACCGCGACTGGAGGACATCCTTCAACGAGTCAAGCGCAAGCCTTGAAGCCTCCGAAGCCACCCCAGCAGAAGAGAAAACTTGATTTGGATTTCCCCGATAGTGACGAGGAAGACGAAGATTGACGCTCAATGGAAGTGCTGCAAGGCTCTTGGTTCGGCTTCAGCTTGAGCCAATGTTCACTTGGTTGTTTCGACCGAAGAACAAAAGCCTGCGGCCTAATCGCTCAGCTCAGTCGAGCATCGATGCTTCGAGAGCAATTCTCTAGACGTTAAAAAGTGGTCATTTCCTCCTCTACCCCTGGTAATGGCAGCCAACACCCTATGGGCTTCGCATCAGTGAGGACGCTGTGACATCCTACACGGCTCTAAGCCTCCAGTCCCCAAACCCAGGGATCACCGCAGAGAGACATCTCACATAGACTGCTCCTTTTCGTTTGCAGCCACGCCCGCGCGATATGACCCAGATCGGACCGCCCGATTGACCGAGGCCGAGCTGTCCAGAAGCTACCTAACAGGAATCGGCAAGTCGCGCCAATATCGCCAATATCGCGACAATATACCCTTCCTCGAGTCGCCGCGAATCCGAGCACTTGAGGTATTACATAGCCCACGTTCCTTACCAGCTTCGTCGCGCAAGACCATCATCATTGTCGTTGTTTCTGTTGTTGGTGTTGCTCTCATTGATCGGGATAGGCTCTGATTTACAGCTTCTGATAATTTCTCGCGTGGGTTCATGTCCCTATCCCTCAGGGATCCCTCTCACTATGCCTCTATTCGGTATTGTCCTGCCCATGCTCGCAGCTCTGATGCTCAAACAGCGGTGGTTGTAATTGAACCGTGATCATGATCATGTCTTCCTCGGGCATTCCGCCACAGTTGATCCTTCGTCGACTCAGTCAGCTACATTACAAAACTCTTCCATCTCAACTTATCGATGCTGTAACATACATGGACCCTCCTTCATCCCCCAGGCTCGCAGCTCAGAACATATTCCTCGACCTTGGTCAACAGACGTTCCTCGCTGCATCCTCAAACCAAGCCGTATCAACCGTGGCTTAGCGTCTCGTCCTTCGACTCACCCTTCGATTTCTTTGCCCAAATCCCTTCACGTTGCGGTGTGTCGGAGGCTGTGAAAACGAACTCCTCGGATCAAAATCCCCGTCTCCATCAGAATCGTCATCTCCTTTTTCAGAAGGTGTCTCACTGCCAATTAAGTCGGACAACGTTGGCGACTGTACAGGCTGTGGTGTTAGCCCGCGGCATTCATTCAACAACATCTCGTCATCCGGATGATAGGGAGGAGTCGGTTCGTCTTGCACCCTAGCTGGTGGTTCCCACGGCGTTGTGAGTCGCGTATCTTCGATCATGTCTCGGTCGAGATCGGCTTCACCAAGTGATGCGGTGGGAGTGAATGCGGTGGAAGGGGTTTGAGGTAGCTCTGAAGAATGCTGCCTTGGCCAGTTTGTCTTGTGGCGTGGCGACTGAGATGCATTTTGAAGTTTTCTGTGACTCCGGGTCCTGACAGTTCCAGACACAACTTGGAGATGTTCTTCGGCTTCCTCTGCGCTACCACCATAAGCCCTGGCGAAGTTCCGGACATCAGCATCAGACCCGTCGACAACATCGTGCTCAGACACGAAGCGATAAGTCGGCGAGCTCATTATGCTCTCGTCCAAGGTCAGAAGCTGCTGAGGGTCCGTTTCGTTGAGGTCTTCTCTTGCCACAGCAACCGCGACGTCTACGTCGTCCAAGAGTCCTGCGCGACGCCACAGTTGCTCATATCGAGGGTATTGTTTGGTGTAGAAGGCTAGGTGCTGTTGGTGGAGAGCCATTCTTTGTCTTGAATATTGCCGCATCGCTTTTCGTTCAGCTTCTCTTCTTTGCCTTTCGATTTCTGCCCTCTTCTCCTCCAACTTCTGCTGGATGTACTGCGCCTTTCGCTCCTCCAGACAAATCCGATAGCGTCTTGTCATCTCAGGATCACATTCTAACTGATGCTCCGCAAACCCCTGATAGGCCATGACCTCCTCGGGCTTCTTCGCGGGGACGATACCGTATCTCAAGTTGGAGAAGGACTGGGCCCAAGAGTTGCTGTCTTGAAGCATGGCTTCTTCCCACGGAAGTAATGGAGGGCTTGCGCGAGGAAGAGGATCGTTCTGGTCCGTCAGCAGCTGCTCTCGTAGTGGATACTCCATAACTAAAGCACGAAATCCTGCCGAGAAGCGTATGAAGAGCCTGAGGTACAAGTCGAAGGATCGTGGGATGGTGGAGGAGAACTTGACGGGACATTTTGTTCCCGCGCTGGTGAGTGAAAGGACCAAGTGAAGATCGAGGCTTCTCGGTCTGAGCGTGTAATTAGCTTGGTCGACCGCCTTGTTCAATGTCAAGAGCCAAGTCATCGGTCGAGGAAGCCGCGCTCGCTATGTGCCTCCTCCTGTACCTCACCTCCTTTTACTGCCAGAACCATGTCTCCACAAATAGGGATAATAATGAAATAAGTTACTCCGATCCATATTGCCGTCGACGAGTTCTGTCGACATTCAAACTGCTAACATTGTCTTAGGAGGGAAAGGCTTGTCCACAGTCTTTGAAAACCTGCCTATGTACCATCCATCAATCATCTCCCTTAGTCGCAGCCAGAAATGAATATCCGAGGACCGTCGAAACCTTCGAGCTCTGTTCTGGAACTCTCTGATTCGACTGATTATAGTTCTTTCTAAAATGCGTAGGAGCTCTGGAGCGACAGGATCTTGGGACAATCAACAAAGCAATGTAGGCGGGAGCAGCTTGATTCATCGAAGCAACCGAATGTGAAAAAAAAACCAAAGAGAATTTTCTTCGCGGAATTTTCTCACTCGTCTCGGTTTCTTTTTTTCTTTTTCTTTTTCTTTTTTTGGCAGCCTGATATGACAGATACCAAGGCGGCAATGCCAGGACGGGAGTTCAACTACGAAGTCAACGGTTTGTGTTTTCATTTCTGTGGGTGGCAATGTCTGCTGCAAGTGCAGTAGAAGGGAGAGGGCTTGTAAGTGATAAATGACAGAGATAGAAGTTTGGCCCTGGTGACCGCGATTTCCATATGGAAGCTCTCTCATTTTCACCACCTCCATTCAAAGCCCTGTTCTCTGTACGGGCCTGACCAACCTATATGTATATCGTGGTGGCCCTAACACGGCTCTGAGTTTTGTTGACTCACATGTTGTGGACCGAACTGTTCCTAGTCCACTTCCTGAAAGTCTTCCCGTAGAAGTAAAACAAGATCCCAAAAGAGCACCACAAGAAGATCAGAGACATATTCAACATGATCGGGGGGAGGTATCCATCGCGGATGATCCATGGCGTGATAAACTTGCCCAAGCCGTATCCCCAGACATTCTTGTTGACTGTGATGGCGACGAAGATGGAACCTGCAACCGGTTTGTAGGAGTCGACGCTGTAGGTCGAGGCGATGGCAGGGATGGCGGCAACTTGAATGCCAGCACATGTGTAGCCAATTATGACAATAATCTGGAGAGAATTAGCCGCCCTGACATCAAGGTCGAGGCTGAACACTAAGCTTACTCGCCAATCCCACTTGTATTCATATCCAAAGGCCACGACAAAGTTGTTGATGAGCATGACAATCACGTAAGGGATCATAGCTGGCAATCTCATCTCGGGCTCTCGAATGCCCCTGTTTCTCTTCGTCGCCTTTGCTGCAATCCAGTCGCTAAGCGGCCCGTTGGTAAGCAGGCCTATCAATGCCCCGACAAGGATGGCAAAGTTTGTATATCCGACGCTCTGTGGTGAGAAGTTGTACGGAGGCGCGGCAAAGTTTTGAGACTGTGTCAAGTTGATTGTCAAGAATGATGACGCTGACCAAGACACGACAAACGCGGAGAATTCGATAATAGGGTAGAGATGAAGTTTCCAGGGAATCCAAAGATCCAAGAGGATGGCCTGGAATGGATGGGCGTTATTTTGCCACAGCATAAACTGTTTCTTGGACGGTGTCCCTCTGTGGAGGTATGGGTCGCGTTCAGCCGTTGCGGCGGCTGTCAAATCAACAATAGTGGGTTCCACGGTCACGCCATTCTTCTCTGGATCTTCGACGGCTTCAGAGGTTATCTTCTCGTCGAAAGAGTCTTGCTTCTGCTGCTGCGCCATCATTTCCTTCGGGTGTTGGCGATGCCATTTGGTTTCTGGAAAGAGGAAAAATAGCGCGATGAGGACAGCTGAGTGAAGGGCCACGTTTAGCCACCAAAAGTTCTGCCATGTAGAGTATTGCGCCATCGAGCCTGAGATGATCGGTCCAACCTAGAGATGCGTGAGCAAGAGTCTTCATGTCGAGGGAGGCTTCCCTACCATTAGGCTGCCGAAATAGACAGTAAAATAAAGAGTATTGTATGCGCCTCGTTCGTGAAGAAACAACACATCGGCAATGACTGTGGGTGCAGAAGTCTGTCTCTGACTTAGACACGATATAAATTCGAATGACTGTTGTTTCTTGCATACCTCTGCTGGTCCGGCACCTATGCCGTTTAGGATGCAAGCTCCCATGAAGCTGCGATAATCCTTGGCCACGGCTCTCCAGATGTTTGAAACGAGGCAGATCAGGGTGGAAAAAATAAGGACAGGTCGACGACCAAAAGCCGTTTGGATGGGCACCCTGTATAAATCAGCAACAGAACGGAAATTGAGGTGTTAGATTGCATTAGCCCACCAGAGGAAATTGCTGAAACCCAGGACGAGGATACAAACACCCGTGAACTGGACGGCTCCTGCACAATGGGTGAGACAGAAACAGTGAAATGGGTAGTTCGACCAATACCTGCGAGATCCGTGTCGAACGCTTCGATCAGATTCGGAAACATGGGTGCAAGGGCCAAAGGACCAAATCCTTGGGCGAAAGTCACGACAATTACCATTGAGACACTGGAGAACTTCCAGAAGCGGTTCCAATTCTAGAAAGCTGTTAGAAGCATCAACCACCTGAGTTGGCCTAGTAGTTTGCTCACAAGAGGATCATGCTTGTCCGCCGACGGTTGAGGCACCAGAACTCGATGAGACTTATCGGATGACTTGACGAAATGATGAGATCCAACATCGCTCATAATCTCGGTGCCGGGATAGATGCGAGTATGAAGCTCCTCCTCCAACTGCGCACCGATTAGAGAAGTGTTTCAGACAGGATGATCATCATTCACCTGGTGGAGCGTCTACAGGGCGTGAATGTCAGCACATGATCATGAAATACGGAGGATGTGGAAATACATTCTCATCATAGTTCATCTCCATCTTGTGGGAAAGACGCGGTGGCGGCACACAATCAAAATTTCCCTCTCGGTTTTGATATCAATCTCTGAGAGAGTTGCAAGCCTAGAAAGCTGGCACTCGACACTAGCCTTGCAGCGGCGGGTCTCGCTCATATATCTGCGAGCGTCACGGTGACTTGATGAGGAGAAGGCCTCGTCATCACATTGGAATCCTGCATCGGAAGGCCAGAACCGATAGCACGCTTTGGCGAGAAATTCCTCGGGAGCCGTCTCCTGGCGTGGAAGCAATCCTGCGGAGACATAGAATCTATCGAGCTGGTCACTCTGTAGTAGCTGAGTAGCCTACCAAATCAACGATCGCTCCCAAAGGTCGGACCCGTACGCCCGGGAGAAACTCCTGAATGGATGGAGAGTTTATCATCGTCTCCTTCGGCTTGGTTAATCGGCTTGAGGATGGCGCTGGTCATTGGAGAGGATCGTGCGAGGCTCCATAGTTCTCTTTGACGAGTCTGGGGACCCCATGTCAATCTCCACGTTCTGTAGCGCAAGGCTCGTATCGCCGCTAGGCTCGAAGGAAGCTCGGGGTTCCCGCCACGGGGGCTGGAGTGGTCGGAAGCGTCCAGCCTGCCGGGAAAGGGACCTCACCGATTAGAAACGCTGGTGAGGCTTTAGAGTTGGGAAATACACCAAAAGGCGGGATATTTCCGTCATCGTATTCAAACGCAGGAACTTCATCGGCAGAGGCGTGAATTAGCTTCCATTCAGTCCACAGCGTTCGAAGCCCAAGACGTTTAGCAGCTTCGGAAGTGGGCGAACAGACAACTAGTCTTGTCATAATCCAGTTGACTCTTGCAGCTCGCGTTTGCTTTTTCTCTTCAGGCGTGTGGCAGGCAGGGTACATTCCCGATTTCCTCCTTGGTCGGCAGAGGGTTCTGCGGAGAGAGATCTGCTGATAATCTACTCCGTCCTTGTATTGTACTGTACTTACCGTCTCAATGTAGGAAGGTACCAGCGGGAAGTGTCGAAGCTCGAGGCTCCTGTAATCCCCGAGGCGAAGAGTTGATACATGAGGGTCTAGGCCTTATAGGCCTAGAATTGCAGAAAAAAATTGGAAGAAGTGTGCAGGAGGTCATCGATAATGATTCAAATGGCTGTCTAGATCGTCAATTAAATGAGTACGTAGAAGAAGGGTATGCTCGTTGTCAAGTGCCTCGCTTTCCCCATCCACTGAAAAATCCTCCCGTGCTTGCCGTAGCCGCGTGAGTAGATTTGGGAGGTTCCTTTGTCGCTTGACTTGGAGTTGGAGCAGACATCGTTGGTGACTCAGTTGTGCTGCCTCGTGCTGTAGGAGAGGATGTCGCTCCGCCCAAAATCTTACGCAAAGCGTCTAGTTTTCCTTTGGTCTCCTCCAGCTCCTGTCGTGCCACTGCCTCGGCTGTCTTAGCATTCACTAGCTCCAATAGCAGGGCATCGTTGGAAATGGGCTCGTGGTTTTCTGTGGCAAGGACGGCTTGAGTGTTGAGGCTGCTTGAGCGTTTCGAATACGGTCCGACGCTGCTTGATCGAGTCGTTTCCGGCCTACCTAATCTTAACTCTCGAAGTCCAGATTTAGGAGGAGGCAACTTCAAGTCTGGGAATTCGGTGATGGGAGTGTAGAGGTCAGCAGGTGAATCCGGCACCGAGTTGTTGCGTGAGCGCAACTCGGTAACTGTCCTTTCTAAGCGTTGCCTGTCGCGATGTGCATCCTGAATCCTGGCTCGAGCATCTCGCAACTGCTCTTTGAGGCTGTGCTGTTCTGCTTCTCGCTCATCAAGCTGTCTCATCAGGTCCCGACACTTGGTCACCTCAGCATCATGCTTCTCCTTCCACTCCGATACCTCATCACGAAGCTGGTGTTTGGATTGCGCTACGGAAAGCCGCCTTGAGCCGTCTCGACACAGTTGACATTCAGCTTGGGCCATGAGAATATCCAGCTCCATATCTTCGTCTGTAGCCTCGGAGCCGTCTACCCCTGCTATTTCTCTAATATCTGTGGTCTGTTGTCGTAGACGCTCCAACACTCTTCGTGCAAGCTGCCGATCTTCTTCTCGTTCTTCACGCTCTCTCTGAAGCTCTTGAGCAAGCTCGACATGCTGTCGTTGGACTTTTGACAGTTCCGTGAGTAGATCTTCGATCTGGTTATGGAGATTCCGGTTACTCGAATCAGGGGTTGGGATAATTGCTGAATGGAGGCTAGTGGCAGCAGATACAGTGGCTTTTGGTGGTCCTTCATCTGAGAGTTCTGTACCAACTGTACTAGCCTCTGTGTTTGTTGTTTCTAGCGAGTTCAGTGTTGAGGTTAAACTTTGACCAGAAGATGATTTTCGGACCGACTTGTTGTTTCCTGGAATCATGAGACTCAAATTTTGAGACCTGGAAGGCGTATGTGACGAGCCTGCCCAGAATCTGCCCAAGAAAGAAGACACCGCACTCTTCAGCGAGGGAGCCGCTGTTAAATTCTGCGAGTGCCTGAAATTTGCCTCCAGCGACTGAAGAGACTCTTGGCTCACCAACCCAGTCAGGGATACGAAGTCCGACACCAAATCGTCTGCATGTTGTGCGTAGGTATCCCATAGACTCCTCGAGAGCAGAAACTGCATGGCATCCTCAAATTCCGTGTAGGCAAGCAGCTTTTTCTGATTTCGCTGCATCAGTGACAGGGCAACCCTCATCAGCGTCTCTGTTGCACCTTCCGAGAGTATGACGTCGTAAATCCTGAGTAGCATAGGAAGTGGACAAGTGACGGCGAAAAATGACAAAAACCATTGTGATACGTAAAGCGGTTCGATCTTTAACTCCTCAAGATGAGCCGCTAAGGCTGGTAAGTGTCGTATTAGAAGCTGTTGGAACTGGTATATTCGAAGATGCAACCCTGACAAGTCTGGCAAATAACATGAACGAAGATCATAATTTTCCATAAGCCTGCACCCAAGTCAGCATTCTTCTGCGGAAGGGAAATAATAGACGGACCTAACAAGGATGCAAAATGCTTCTGGTTCACTCATATGCATCAGGAGTGGTCCGACAACGAACCCGAGACCTTGACAATATCCAATTTTGCTGTCATAAAGTGAGAACGCTTTCAAGACTTTGCCGAGCATTCTTTGCCCGTCACCATCTTTCTCGCGAAACATGTCGACATTTGGAAAGCTCCTACCCACATCCTTTCCGATCAAACCATCGTAAGGACTCGGCTCATTGGAGAGTCTCTGGTATTCTGAATGGAGAAAGCCGTCGTGAGCTTGAGCGATACTAGGCCAGACAACCCCTCGGAGAGGTGGTGGAACGCCTCCTCGAATCTTGTTGGAGGTTAGGGTGGGCAGTCGCTGGGCTGTCTGAGTGTAGTCTTGAACCAATGCCGCCCAGAATTCCAGTTCGGTCATTGGAGGAGCAGGTAATAGCGAATATCTCAAAGACTGGCGCTGGGGACCATCCACCATTCTTTTTAACTGTTGTATTGAAGGGGGCCGGGTGTTTTTGCGTGGGCGCGAAGTCGTTGTGATGCCAGCCTTAGGATTAGTAGCTAGCGCTGCGTTCTCTTTTTCCAAACGCGCCAGTAACAATGTTGTGGACTATCTTCGCGTTAGCCGCATTTATAACCACAGGACTGACGGCCTCACTTCATCGGTGGCTTCGTCTTTGTGCTCTTGTTCCTCCGTCTTTTCAAGGCCCTCCCAGTTGACAGAATTTAACGACATCGAGCTCTCGGAAGTGTTGGAAGAGGATCGACTGGTCCGGGTCGATGGCGGACCGCTTCGAGGCAGCGAGGTCTCCTGAGAGACATCTCGTTCGGCAATAATATCGAGATCAGGGTCAAATGGGATATCTGAAAGTCGCACTGAGACCATAGAGCTTCGTGGAAGTGGCACATTCTCGGGTTCGATGTCACCTTCACTCTCAGGGAACACCGCGGATGGGACTTGAGGGACAGCTTCGACGTCGGCCATACTTGGCTGGTCCTGAAGACTACCGAGTACAGGGACGGCTGCTATTTTATAGCAGGGGCGGCAGATGAGGCGGGGGATGGGTCAGAGAGGTTGGTCTCCGGGGGTGGTTGGGACTTGGTTAGCAGCAACATCCAGCAGAGATCACAAAGAGAGACTGCTCGCCAGGTCTGCCAGCGACCGTGCGAGGGGAGTGCGAAACAGGGAAGTAAGGAACGAATGTCGTCGAGGACGATGAAGGGGAGGAAGTGTGAGTACTGAGCACCGAGCAGTGAGCACAGTCCACAGGCATGTTTGAGCAGCGGTGGGCCAAGGGGCTTTGAAACTATGGGTTCGGCACTAGCCCGCCAAATTGTCCACACCCAATGCTTGATTGCCCACCGTTCATGCAATCTCGGCTCACTGCAGGCCCTAAGTGCTAAACCATGAGGAGCAAAGGCGCCAGATAATGTAGAAAGTCTCAGCATGAAGGGTTGAGCACGGAGGACGAGGTATTATGACCATGAATGAATGCTGGGTTTGAAGAGGGAGTTCCTCTGGAGAAAAAGGGAGACGCGTCAATCGCGGTGCGGGGATGAGATAGTATTGTCGTTGACAAAAGGGTCTGACACTTCTGAAGCCGCGATTGCTGCAACTATATGGGGGGTAGAAGTGCATGTCACGCGATGAGTTGCTCTTCCAACAACAGGGCGATCTGTCGAAGTCATATGTACGAGAACTCAGTATGGAGTGGTCGATACCTAGCTAGGGCAATAGGAAGTCTGCGGCATAGCACTATTGGAGACCCAAGACCCGCGTGGTTCAGACTTCGGTCAGGGGCTTGATCCACTACTTGTCGATATTGCATATTACCCCGTGGTCGTTCACTAGCCTGGACGAATCTTCAGAATACACTGTGGCTTTCTCACCCACCAACCTACGAGGTACTGATATGCCAAATTATCAAACTGAGCAATAAACAAGCGGAAAGTGAATGGCAGGAAATGACGGGAGGGAATACAGGACTTTTGTCCCAGCAACCTGCGGCGCCCTATTTCCTAAATAGGACTAGTGAATAACGCGAATTCTTGGCATTGTTGGGGCAGAAAGTCGCCTCCGAGCCGCGGTGTTTACAACATCAACAACCGTCTCTAGAGTATAGACTGACAACTTGTTCAACCTTCTGTGACAGTTGAGATAAGAAGGCTGGTAATATCTCTCTTTATTGCATGAGTTCAAGATCTCCTCCCCCTTGACCCCAATGACTGGGCGTTTCTGATCGTCATTCCTCTCTGACAACACCAACACGATGGACGACTCGATGTTCGACATCGATGACGGCAGCTCAGATTTTGAGCCCACGGCCGTAAGTCTCGGTGCGTCTCAAAAAAAAGTGAATGGGGTCGCTAACAAGTCTGTCCAGAAACCCAAGACCAAATCAACCAAGAAAGCCTCCGAGCCGAAACCCGCGACTAAGAAGGCAGCAGCTTCAAAAGCGAAGGCTGGCCCAAAAGCGAAGGCCACCGTTCCCAAGAAGCGCTCGAAGAAGGACTCTGAAGACGAGGTCTCTGGAAACGAAGCTGCCAACCTCTTCGACGATGAGTCGCTCCTCGCAGACACCCCCCCTCAGGCGAAGAAAGCGAAGCCGAACCCAGTCAAAGGGAGTCACCAGAAACCTCTGGGTGATATTGTCAATGAAGCTATAGGCCTCGATGGCGCGAATGACTCCCCACAGCCTCGAAAGAAGAAGCGCGTCTCCGAGCAATACCAAAAACTTACACAATTGGAACATATCATCAAGCGTCCCGACACATATATTGGCTCGGTCGAGCGCACACTCGCGCGGATGTGGGTCTACAATACGGAACAAGATTGCATGGAGTTTCGGGATGTATCTTTTGTCCCTGGCATCTTCAAGATCTTCGATGAGATCCTGGTCAACGCCGCGGACAACAAGCAAAATGACAAGAAGATGGATGAGATCCGTGTCACCATCGACCGCGAAAAGGGTGAAATCAGCGTCTGGAACAATGGCCGAGGTATACCTATCGAGATCCATTCGAAAGAAAAGATCTATATCCCAGAAATGATTTTCGGTCATCTCTTGACCGGCTCAAATTACGACGACGACGAACAGAAGATCACAGGCGGCAGGAACGGCTACGGCGCAAAGCTAGCCAACATATTCAGCACAGAATTCACCATCGAGACTGCTGACTCAAAACAGAAAAAGAAGTACAAGCAGACGTGGACGAAGAACATGTCCGAGATGGGCAAGGCCAAGATCACTGATGCCAAAGGGGAAGACTACACCAAAGTCACATTTTACCCTGACTTTGCAAAGTTTGGTATGACCGCTATGGATAATGATCTCGAGGCACTTTTCAAGCGCCGGGTCTATGATCTTGCCGGCACGTGTAAAGGGGTCAGGGTGAAACTCAACGGTTCCATGGTTCCCATCAGAAACTTCAAGAAGTATTGTGAAATGTATACAAAGGCGATCAAGAAAGAACGCGGTGACGAGGCTGCAAATGATACATCTGGAATCATCACAGAATCTCCCGATGACCGTTGGGAGATTGGCTTCGCCGTGTCTGATGGCTCTTTTCAACAAGTCTCCTTCGTCAACTCCATTGCCACCACCTTCGGGGGCAGTCATGTCAACTATGTTGCCGATCAAATTGTCAACTACTTGATGGAAGTCGTCAAGAAGAAGAACAAAGGCGGTGCACAAATGAAGCCGCATCAGATTCGAAATCATATCTTCGTTTTCGTCAATGCCCTCATTGTCAATCCGGCTTTTACATCGCAGACCAAAGACCAACTGACTACGAGGCCCGGTCAGTTTGGAAGCAAATGTCCAGTGTCTGAAGATTTTTTAAAGAAGGTTGCAAAGACCGATGTCGTCAACAACATCCTCCACTTTGCCCAGCAAAAAGCCGATCAGATCCTTAAGAAATCTGATGGAAGCAGGCGAAGCCGAATGAACAACCCCAAGTTGACGGATGCGAACAAGGCCGGCACAAGAGAAGGCCACAAGTGTACCTTGATCTTGACCGAAGGCGACTCAGCGAAAGGCCTTGCAATGGCAGGACGATCCGTCGTCGGCCCCGATCTGTTCGGTGTCTTCCCGTTACGGGGCAAGCTCCTTAACGTCCGAGATGCTTCTGTTGACCAGATCTCGAAAAATGCAGAAATTCAGAATATCAAGAACTTCCTTGGGCTTCAGCACAAGAAGGTGTACACTGACACCCGCGATCTCCGCTACGGCCATTTAATGATCATGACTGATCAAGATCATGACGGAAGTCATATCAAAGGGCTGTTGATAAATTTCTTGCAGGTCCAGTTCCCCAGTCTGCTGAAGATCCCGAAATTCTTGGTCGAGTTCATTACTCCCATCGTCAAGGTGTGGAAGGGTGATCCTAAGAATCCCACACAATCGCGCTCGTTTTACACCATGCCAGAGTACGAGGCTTGGAAGGAGGCACACAAACACGAGCGTGGATGGGAAAACAAATACTACAAGGGGTTGGGCACAAGCACGACGGAAGATGCGCAACAATACTTCAATGATATCGACAAGCATCACAAGGAATTCGACACCATGAAGGATGAAGAAGCCGCATTGATCGAACTTGCGTTTTCCAAGAAGAAGGCGGATGAACGGAAGGAGTGGTTGCGGCAATTCAAGCCGGGCACATTTTTGGACCACACAACTAAAAACATATCCTACACCGATTTCGTCAACAAAGAGTTGATCCTTTTCAGCATGGCCGACAATATCCGATCTATTCCCTCGGTCGTCGATGGTCTGAAGCCCGGACAGCGAAAAGTCATGTTTGCATGCTTCAAGCGCAATTTGAGAAAGGATATGAAAGTAGCTGAGCTTGCGGGCTTGGTCGGCGGCATGACCGCCTATCACCATGGCGAAACATCTCTCCAACAGACAATTGTCGGGCTCGCGCAAAATTTTGTAGGGTCAAACAATGTCAACTTGTTGGAACCCTCCGGGCAGTTTGGTACGCGAAACCAAGGCGGAGGCGATTCTGCAAGTGCTCGATATATTTTTACCCGTCTATCACCCTTCGCCAGGAAGCTATTCCACCAAGCCGACGAACCCCTTCTGTCCTACAACTATGATGATGACAAGAAGATTGAGCCTGAGGTGTATGTGCCGATCTTACCAATGGTCCTCGTCAATGGCGCCGACGGCATTGGCACTGGTTGGAGTTCCTCCATCCCCAACTACAATCCGGAAGATATTGTGGAAAATCTCAAACGCAGAATGGCCGGCGAAGAGTGGAAACCAATGCAACCGTGGTTCCGCGGATTCAAAGGTGAGGTCAAGGCCACCGGACCTGATCGGTTTCAATTCAGTGGTATTATCCACCAAACTGGTGATACCGAAGTCGAGATTACGGAGTTGCCGATCCGTACCTGGACGCAGGATTTCAAGGACCGGCTAGAAGAGATCATCAAAGCGGAGAAGGGCCCATCGTTTATCAAAGACTACAAGGATTACAACACTCACGACACTGTGCATTTTATCATCCAGATGGACGAGAAGCACATCAAGTCTGCCCTCGAGGAAGGTCTGGTGGAAAAGTTCAAACTCACAAGGTCAATAGCGACATCCAATCTCGTGGCATTTGACCCGGAAGGCCGCATTACGAAATATGCAAATGTCGAAGCCATCATGGACGAATTCTACAGTTATCGTCTCCAGTTGTATGCTAAGCGGAAGGAATGGCTTCTGCAAGAGATGCAGAAAGACCTCAGACGGCTCACCAACCAAGCTCGATTCATTCAGATGATAATTGACGGTAAACTCAGCATTTCCAAGAAGAAAAAGGCTGTCCTCATTGCAGAGCTTCAGAAGCTTGGATTTGACGTGTTTCCCAAGACAGAAGATGCGGCCAAACAAGGTGAGATCGAAGCTGTTGTCGAAGAGGAAGATACCGAAGAAGAGTCCATTGACGCCAGCGCGTACGACTACCTTCTTGGCATGCCTCTTTGGTCCCTAACGCAAGAGCGAGTTGAGAGACTTTTGCGTCAAATCGGAGACAAAGAAGAGGAGATGGATACTTTGATGAAGAAATCAAAGGAAGATCTCTGGAAACATGACCTCGATGAATTCATTGCAGAGTGGAGGTTCCAGCTGGAAGATGAACACAACCGCAAGCGCAATATCCGAAAGGGACGTCGAATCTCGAAGAAATTCGCAACAGCAGCAACGACAAAGCCGACCATCAAGAAGCGCAAGGGACTGGGTGATGCGTGGGATGACGACTCTGATTTCGAGGAATCTGCCCCGAAGGCGAAGAAGAGCGCGCCTCCGAAAACGGTCCAGGTTCCAAAACAGCGCTCTATCACCGCGTATGCTGCCCCAAAAACCAATGCTTTAAAGAATGCTTTGGAGAAGCGCAGCATGTATACTGATGGTGCCAGTGACCCTCTTGTAGACCCGGAGGACGAGCTCACGAAGCCTGGCAATGATGGCCTTGCCAACCGAGTAAAGAACGAGCCTGAGGACGCCGAAAGCCGTATCCCCAAGGCCAGTACCCGACAAGCTCGGGCAGTAACCAAAAAGCCAACGAACTACGCATTGTTGAGTGACTCTGAAAGTGACAACGGAGACGATCTGCTCGCTGATCTTGGTGAGATGGTTAAAGGTCTACCAAGCAATCCCGCCACGGATAGTGGCACTGAATCGCGTGCACTTTTCTCCAATTCTGTTTCCCGTCCAAGCAGCAGCCATGGCTACAAGCCGGCTCTGAAACCAGCTACCAAGGCCTCTATGGAGCTGTCGGAGGATGAGACCGACTACAAGATGCTTGCACCACAACAGTCTCCAAGACGATCCATCATTCTAACAAATAAGGATGACACCAACGCTATGGAGGATTCTGACGAAGACAATAAGCCGGTAAAGCCCTCCAAGAAGCCTGCACCTAAGAAAGCCCAGAAGGTCGTCAGCGACGATAGTGAGAGTGATATTGCCCTCCCAAAGGCGAATAAGAAAGGGCCCGTCAAAAAGGCAGTGAAAGAGGAGCAGCCGAAAGCAAAGAAACCAGCTGCGAAGAAAGCTCCAGCGGCAAAGAAGGTCGAACAATCCCCTGTTGCAAAGGCTTACGCAAAGAGACTTGCAAAGAAAAAGGTCACGGACATGGATGCCGATATGGATGCTCTGGCGGATGATATTCTAAAGTCTCCTTCTGGTTCTGATTTAGATGCTCCTATTGCAAAGAAAGCAGCGACAAGACCTGCGAGAAGAGCAGTGACCACGAAGAAGCCAACGACCTATACTTTTGATGATGATGATGAGGATGATGACAGTCAAGATGGTGGATTCGACGATGATGGTTCTTCGGCAGCGTTTTCGGATGAGTGATTACGCGTCAACAGCAGTGGTTGAATTGATCAAGCACTTGCATGGTGGACGAGACGTGGAGGTTGCGTGGAATACGAAACTGGAATCTGAACTTCATTCTAGAATTTTATTGGAGGCGCGTGGATTCTCGTTGGCACAGATATCACTGTGCGATTGTGACATGATTTCTTTGGGTAGAGCATACTACTGAATTCAGCCTTTTGCTGACTCGGACAGTGATCGGTTTCTGACCACAGCGAAATGCATCTCGCGACACGATGCAAAAGAGCAAATCTGTTTCTCTGTCTTGCCAGGCGTTTGAACCTCCACAAACTCTCGGGTTTCCCAGTAGTACTTCCGAAAGCTAGAATATGTTTGATGGGTCCAAAAAGGGATCTCACACTGTTGTGGATCTTGTCTGCATGTCTTGGCGCAAGCGTTTTCTTTGTCTGTTCTATAGCTATCGCAAGGCTAACTAACCAGTGGATCGATTGTGCAACCTGCTAATGCAAGGTACCGCCGGAGGAGAGGGATTAGGATCAACGTCTGGATGGCGAGACCGGCACCACCTTGGTGAGTCTCCTTTTCTTCCGAGTGAAGTTTCTGATTGGGTTGGGCTGATGAGTTACGGTTGCATTTATGATGCACCCTTGCCCCTGCCGAACAACGTGGCTCGAGGACATCTGCAGATAATAGGCGAGTCCCACGAACCCGGCCTCAGCCTTCAGAGGGAAAAACTGTGGGACTGCTTTTGGATCTGGCTTCTTCTGAATGTTGTCAGTGGTCTTTCTGCACTTATTCTGCAGTGTAGGCATGGATATCTCGCCTCGCGTCTGCCTTAATGCCGCGAATAGACCGGAGAACGGTCAATGTACACAAGTCTTTCAGATTCTGATCTCCCTGGAGAACTTGGGCCTCGCGTCTGCGCCATTCCGAACGTTCAAGGACGAACTTCTACACCGCTCATCCAGCGCGTCAGCTGAATTCAGTACCGTGGATACTTTGATTCGTCAAAAGAGGACGATCATGGAGAGACCGCTTCGTCTACCATCTGGCCTAGACTGGCCGCCTGCCTCAGTTATTGCATGAGTGCAAAGGCATGCCAACTTATCCGCCCTTTTCTTTGTATCAGAAGGAAGGTCGAGGTGGAACCGGCTACAATCGTTTCATGAAGACGGAGCAGGTTGCAAGCTTCCAGGCTTTGTTGTGGCATGTTTTCCAGGTTGCCATTTGCCATTTGCCATTTGCCATTTGCCATCCCATCCCATCATCCAGGTTATTTTTGTGCGAGAAGATATATCAAACCATTCTTGCCAACGTGAGGCCTTCTCATCCCTCACTTTCTCTCAGTCAAAGTGATCTTCGTTCGGGATGGCTGCAATCCACTCTCTCCTTAACCCGATCAGAGAGAGTGAGGACTATGACAGCAACAACGACAGCAGGGATGAGGTCTCCGCCCCCGACAGTCCAGCCTCGCCGATGTCTGACATAGTTCAAAACGGGCCAGACAAACGCATTCGAAAGAAGCAAAAAATGTGCAAAGATGCCGCAGTCTTCAAGCCTGGGGTCATTCAAGGGGAATGTCGCTACCCACCGGACGAGTATCAAGATGAGTTGCTGGAGGCTAAACATCAGATGTACGAAGTGTACCCGGTTGGCGATATAGCGACCTACCCGAGACATATCCCGTACAACAGCGGGAAGAAGCTGTTTTGGGAGAAAACAGGGCGAGAGAGCTTCGAAGGTACTCCCCAAATCCTGTTGATACATGTTGCCCAGCTAATCACACCTTCATATAGTCTTCCAATATCAATTCAAGATACCAGGAGACCCAAGTATCTACACAATGCTGTGGGACTACAACATCGGCCTGGTCCGTACCACGCCTTTGTTCAAATGTGGAAACTATTCAAAGGTATGCCATTGTGTAGTTGGCGCACACAGCTGAGCTGACTGCCGGTCGGCAGACAACGCCTGCAAAGATGCTAGCCAGAAACCCTGGATTGAAAGAACTCTGCCACAGTATCACTGGAGGAGCTCTGGTTGCACAAGGTACGCCAGAGGGGTGGTGCTCCTTGTTCAATCCGAAGCTGATACAAGATTCAGGATACTGGATTCCCTACGATGCGGCTAAAGCAATGGCTGCCACATTTTGCTGGCACATTCGCTATGCCCTGACGCCAGTGTTTGGAAAGGACTTCCCAGACATGTGCCTGCCTCCCGACTCTGAGGATTTTGGCTCCATGCAGATTGATCCAGAGATCACCAAACGCTGTGCTTTGCAAGCTCGGCACTATCGCGAACTCGAGAGCAGCTTGGTTGCATCAGGCCCGTCGTCTGGCATATCCAGTCCTCGGACGCCACAAACGCCCCAAGTTCGCCCTCAACTCAGAAAGATCTTGCCCAAGCCATACAATGAGACGGACACGCTGAGCGAATACTCAACAGACACAAGCCGTGAGGACGAATATGAATTGTCTTCCTCGCCCCAGGTTGCCTTTACCAACCCTTGGTCCGCAGTCAACACTCCTCGCTCTCCTTCTCCCAGAATCTCTTTTGACAACCCATGGTCGCCGTCCAGCACAACTAGGTCGTCTTCCCCTTGTCGAACGTCTCGTAGAGCTCGGATGGCGGCCAACATCCCGAGATCCCATACCCCTCTTGATCTTTTGCCACCGCCTCGGAAGCCATTGTTCACTACCACTGCGCCCTTGGATATCCAACCTGACCAGTCGATTCCAGGCATGTCTCCTAGTTCAGTTGCGCGTGCCACGGAGGTTGACGAAGACTATGATGGTGGGTCAGACGATTCTGAGGATTGGGAGATGAAGAACGGTGCTACAGCGAGGAAGCAGTCGTCGAGGGGATTTACCGACGCCAAGGCTGCGTACGTGTTGATGAAGTTGAAGACGCAGGGGGGCATGCTCAAGACGGACTCGAAGTCCTTGAAGCGTCGGGCTTCAGCGTAGGGGTCCCTAAGCCTAGGGGATGCCGCTTTGTCAAGTTCCAAGGCGTTATGAGCTGCCGCTGAGAGAAGTGATGATCTGGCCGGGAGTGGACAAACATAGAATACCTGCTGGACCTGTTGATCGTCTCTTTCATCTTGCTGGCGTGGACTTGTATGGTGGGCGCCTTTGTTAGCTCCTACTGTATGTCGTGGTTTTGGGTCAGTCGCACTTGCGTCTCACTTCAAGCTCTTCTCTTCTATTGTGCTTACACGCTACACACTCATCTCATCCGACAGACTATTTGCTTTTACCTCTAGCTCAATTCTTCGGTGCTCAGGCACGTCGAGAAGCTCAGCCTCTATGAACCCTCACTTCCTACTGCCGTCCTTTTTGCCAGCCACAGTGTCAACTGTCTCTCATCTCTCACCATGCCTGCTGCAACCCCACGAAACAAGCCCTACGATTGCCGATACCGGGCTCTCGGTCCCGATTGCCCAAACACTGATGCATTTTGTTGGGTTACCTGCGAGTTCGCTCGCTGGGATACCGGTCGACGGGCCAGGTCTGTTCAACAAAGAGGTACATGCCTCCCGTGAAAGCATTTGGATATTGCGGCAGCGGTGTCGTCTGTTGGTATGAGCATCGAGAAACGGGAGTTACGGATCTCTATCAAGGCAGTACGGTGCCCACCATGGAAGAATAGTGCAGTACTGACAAGCTGCAGCTGTCGAGTTGGCCTGCTTCGATCTGGGAGTTGCAGACGCTGCTACTGAACCTGGGTTCAATACGCTTAACCATGAAGCCTTGTTCCGCCTCATCTGGGCTGTCAAACGACTTACGTTGCAAGCAGGAACTTGTCATTTTCAAAGAACCCGTCCTAAAAATCCAATATACCCTAACAGGTATCGCGCCTGCGGGATAGGTGATAATACAAGAAAGAAGAGAGGTGCAATTACTGTAGAACCTCCAAAAGATCATGCTGTGGAGTTAAAAATTCACCCTGTTCAGCGTTCGATGAGGAAGCGGCCCTCAAATGATAGGAAACAAGAGAACTTGATCGACTTGACCCTGTCGCCAGACGATGAAACCAACCCCAGACTCATCCATTTCCATATTCAAACGTCAGAAAACGGTCAACGGGAGGATGACCCAACTGCAAGTGATCACCGCCCTAGGCATCCCAACGCGCTCCAAGTGAGAAACGCATCGTTCTCTTCAGTCCGCCGATCGTCCAAGCGATTACCTCGAGCTGCACGCAAACCTGCCAATAGGAGAACCCAGGCTGCCGCAGCCATTCCAGTCATACTGAAGGCACCACTGACAGCCGAATACGAGATGAGCGAGCAGTTGCTTTTGGTCAAGGTCAAGCTTGATGATGCCAGGAATTGTTTGTGTGTGTGTGTGTGTGTGTGTGTGTGTGTGTGTGTCAGTACAGATTTGTCCAAGTTTCCTAGCACAGGGTTGTAGTCAATAAACAAACAAATGGTCTTCTCCAGAGACCAGGGGCTTCCATCGTGTCGCCAGGTACATAGGGATGGTGGAAGATCCGCAAGGCTGACCCACCTGGCTTTTCCCGGGGGCGCGAAGTCTCGGCGCTGCGGCTGCAAAGAATCTATAAAATTGCTTGGTTTTGAGGATCTCGAAACGACAACCATGACCATTCGCCTACAGCAACTGAACCCCTAATGTCGACCTTCGCAATCGTGAATGAACACTGTAGAACAGACCGGTGACCCGGGCTCTCACTGCCACCAATCCGCGAATCATCCAACGATTTCTATCCATTGCTGAATTGCCAGCCTCGGTGCACAACGGCAGGGTCCCGCCACACTCGCAATCACCGCCGGGCAGATTATGAACCAGGCCGCTGCGCAATGTGCTGTCTAGCATGGCGAATGTGGACGAAGTCAATCAGCAGAGGTCTGGTTAATTTATCCTTGACTCCAACGGCGAATCCAACGGTGGTGAGCGGCCGCTGCAAAAACTCCTGTCAGGAATGAAGAACGCAGACACCATGGGACTGGAGCAAGATGGGAAGCATCCCGAATGATCTCGAACGGCTGGGAAAGTTTTCATGTGTCACCATAGCGGCAGTGAGGGAACATATGCACTCTGCCGCACCGTGGTAAACATGGACTTCAGATTGGACTTCACGCCTGCGATACTCGCCCATGGTGATCTTCACTCATCCACCAGGGCAGGCAGTCTCGTCGTCTGAGCAAGATTCTTTCTTTTGCCCGCGCCATTACTACGACTAGGCTGATTGACAGCATCCTTACTTCTTTTCGATGATCAATGACTTAGAGCATGTCTAAGCGCGAACACTCTGTTCTGTCGCACACTGATTTTTCTCAACTACGGCAGCACAGTCGCCAGTCAGTTCAGAGTTCCCTTGTCAACGACTGACTCTGAAATCTGTCAACACCGTCACCCGTTGGTGTTGGAACAATGGCTACTCAACAGAACAACGATGGACAATCTGCCCTCGCAATCGCCCCCTCACTCATCGTCGGCATAGTGATCCTGGCCTCATTCGCATGCATCATAATCTTCGCTAGCATTTTTCGCTACTGCCGCCGGAGCCAGTCCACCTTGGTAGATCCTGGATTCGCATCTGATACGGGCGGTGCTGAATTCTACAACTCCAACAAACCTCCGTCGGCGGCACAAGCTGTCAGATTGAAGGAGGTAAGATGGATCAATAACATGTATGCGTGGGAGAGAGGGCGGCAGGCCCGGATGGAAATTGGAGAGATAAGACCGACTACTATGCTCATGGGACGAAGAGGGGAGAATAAGAACTGGGATGAATATTCCATTGCAGGAGATAATTCGTGGCCAAACGTAAGTCTCATCAAACGTTTTCGCATCCCATTGTGTGAAAATGTGCGCGACATATTCTGACACTGTGGGGACCCAGAGCACGGGCAGTGGCAATGCTGCAGGGGAATACTCTCATACTCCGTATTTCAACAACCCCGACGGCCCTTGTGTACGGTCTTCTTCGCAGCAACGCCTAAGCCACCTCGCACCTCCCGCAGATCATGTCCGAAACTCTTACCAATCGACTACCAGCGGCAACGGTTATCTTCCACGACACCCGTCCGCGTTGCTCCCACCACCCGCTCATGGTCGACGTGAAGCGTTAGGATCGGTGACTCCGAAAAGCCCCTTGAGGAATGAATATCAAATTCACGCTGAAGAGCGAGACTTAAGATCAGGACTCGAGGCAGGACTGCAGCTCACAGGTAATATGGTAGAGAGTGATCCCACTCAACGCAGAGGGTGGAATCCTTATGGCAATCCCAAAATCACAATTAGCGACGACAGTCAGGACGTGGCCCTTGGACGTTCCCCAACTCTGCGGGCATACGACGTTGATTTCGAAACCGTCCCACTCGATGGTAGTATTGAGACTGCAAAAAGTGGCGCGGGCACGGACACGATTCAACAGAACCCTTCGAAACCAAGCCCAGAAATTGCGGATCATAGACCATCAGCGGTTGTGGCGAATGACGAATCGTATCCGCCACTGAAACTCCAATTTCTGTCGCAATCAAAGTACCAGAACTCAGTGAATGTGCATGAGGGTGACGAAGTGGACCTACATAGCGGTCCGAATGAGCAGTTACCTATGCATCGCGCCGAGACAAGAACTAAGCAGCACAAGGAACAAGTGGAGGACATGGATGAAAGCACAAACGGCGATGACGAGATCTCGAGGGAAAACGTCAACGGGATGATTCAGGAATGGGAGAGGGTGAATGGACGCTTCGGAAGGAGTTACTTGGCTGCGCTATAATACGTGGCCAGCCCAGATGCCTCATTGTGTGTATATCGACGACGGGGCCAAAAAAGAGCCTTGGAAGGCTAGAAACCCAACAACCTGGGATCAGGATTCACGTGCGAGTATCCGGCCCCGAATGCCTTGTCAACAAACAGCAAGTGCTCGCCAACGTTGGCTTCATTTGTTGGATACGCCTCAAAGGGCCTTTCCGATCAAAGGCGAACTCTGAGGTCCTGAGTGAAATAAGATGCTGAACAAGGCTGCACCCTCCTGGACGCCAAGACTGCTGCGCAAGGTAACTTTTTCAAATTCCACTGGCACCTGCTTTGCTAAATCTCTTTGCTTGGGGAACGGGTCTTTGGCAGTCTCATTCCGCCATGTTACTAGATCGTATATGGAATGCGTGCGAAACATCGACCAACTCGTGCCGTGAAACCTCGTCAGGCGGTCCCTTGGTCCTGCTCCAACATGTCGCTGGTTGAGGACCTGGAACTCCACTACGGTCCGCGTGCCCAGAGGTCCTGTCGTTCATTACGGTTGGTGTTAGAGAACAGTCTGGGTATAAGAAGCGGCTCCTCGCCTTGCTCATTTTCTTTTCTCCTCCACCTTTGTTGAGCCTGCTCTTTCTCATACTATATCAAGTGTACAGCTTGCAGATACGTCAAACGTCAACAAGTCTCACTACTATCCCCTTCCTCCTTCTAATAAACACGACGTCTATCTGAAGCATATTCTCCACTACTATTCAACATGCGTCTCTCATCGCCCGCCGTCCTTCTCGCCGTTCTCACTTTGCTGTCCTTGGTCACTGCGGCTCCCCTTGACGTAGTGTCCATCGCTACGGCTCAGGGGCTATTCACGAACGTGAGGGCCTCTATATCAGCCACACCAACTACCGTCTCCATTTCAACAGTGGGGGCTATAGCTGGGACCAGCACCCGCCACAGCGAAACAAAGATACCACAGGTTGTAAGGCAAGAGGACGCCATCCAGACTTCCGACGCCAAATCGGAGGACGATTCTACGCTTTATCCTCGCCCTGCCCCGGTGCTTCCTACCTCGCTACCGATGGTGACCACGGTCATGAGCCTGACGGGGCCCCTTTCCATTAGTTGGTGCCCTTGGTGTGGTATTGGTCCTGTGATGCCCAATCAACCAGTACCAACAACTTTGATTTCCTCTGCGCGCCCAGAGCCCACCGCCGCCGACCAAACTGAAAATGAATCGGTAATATCGACGGAATCCTCCAGCAACCCCCCAATCGACAGCTTCCAGACCTATGTCCTGCCGAGCCACGAGCGCAATCAGACTGAGTCGAGTTGAAACCAAGCCAATCCCGACTTGCCCAGCACGTCAGGAGGCTCACTAGGCGGCAGCATCAGCCATTAGGGAAGCTGCCACACAGATGGCATATCCCAATGGCCATCCAGACAAGGGAATCCGACGATGTCCCCATGGTCAACACGCGCGACTGAAACCAAGGGCGGGCCCGTTCGTGCCAAATGGGTGCAGGGTGGGGATCTTGGCCGGGATGATTCCTGGAAGTGGGAAGCTCAGACAGTGCTGCTTCGACCATGATATCTGTTTTGGTGAGGTTCTAACAACACTAGAATACCCAATTCCTATCCAAACCCTTCAAACATACAAATCGTCACCATCCGGAAGAAGAACAAAATACTGAGCTCTTGACACTCTTTTGCTTGTAGCCGAATGCCCCACGGACGACCTCCTGCAATGTAACGACGCATTCCTGCAGTGCATGACTGAAGTGTGCGAGAACCGGGGCGACGGCCTCATTGGGTATGCGAAGAAGGTGTGGTGCTGGATCGAGCGGAACATGTACAACGAGGCGGTCAGGGGCAAGATGACGCAAGACCATTTCATGGATATGACCAGAGACCGGTGTTTTTGTGTCGAGGACGGGACAGATCCTATGCACCTAGGAAATGGGACGAATTGGTGACTTGAAGATTTCGTTGTCGTCGACGACCACGCACTCTACTCCACTGCGGCGTAACGAAGTAAACTGATTTTGTTCTTGACCGCGGCCAAATAAGTGTTAGCGCACGTTACCCAGTGAGACCCCCCTGTCCATGTCTTTCTCCCTCTTTCTTTTCCCGTATCCAGATTGATCGCTCTATCAGGACTACCAATGCAACGCCCTTTTACTTTATGATGATGCCATATAGACCAAAAGCCCCATCTTTGTCCAGCGGCTGCTTCAGCCCCTGTCTTTCGCGCTACGGACATACTCATGGTCATCGGTGAGATTGAATGCGGGCATGTGCCTGGAGATGTCCGACGAGGCTGCCCCTCTGTCTGAGGATACCAATACTGTCGTGTCCTCCTCTTCCTTCTTCTGCTATGGCATGGCTTTCATTCGCAGGCGAAGCTGTGGACCGTTAACAAGCTGGGGTCTTTGGAGCTAGCATCACTGCCGCGACGGTGACTGGGGCGAGGTGGCCCATGACGTAGGGTTAGCATCAGCCGACGCGGAACAGATTAAAAAATATCCCAATGGGCGTCAAAGATGTGATCATATCCGGCGTGCGGAGTTGGGATGAATAGACGCGGGTGGGAGGCACACGCGTGTAACGGTCGATTAATTCGATGGTTGCAGCATCTGTGACAGACGGCGTAGGAGTGTATTTCGACGAAGGCGAATCTATCTACTGGGTAGCTGTAGAGTTCGCTTTTATTGGATAGAGTGCTAGCGGCGTGGCTGTGATCCACATATTTGTGGAACCTAGGTTCAATTCAGACACGCTGTGAGATCAGACGGAGTATACGCAGCGGTGTCCATCCTCAAGCTGGAGATTTCTGGAAACATGATGACGAGTGTGGCGAGGTGAAGCCTGCCTGGGAAATGTACTGGGTATATTGCTGGCTTAAGAGGAGACATGGGCGACATCAAGAGAGCGATCCAGCATGAAAGGATAAAAGCCCGCCCCTGCCCGGAGGCCCTACAATAGGAAGGTGTGGGAGAAATGTCTTGACGGTCCAAATTCAATCTCCATGGAACTCCATGCATTTTTCATTCAACTCGAGTGCTGAGGTTGGACAAGATACAAACAACGAGACAAGAATTGTTGAGAGACGAGGTTAGCTTACGCCCAGAGTATTTCGAAAGAAACTCTGCCTACCTAGATTACTCGAGAATGAAGGATCTGATTGTCATTTACCGTTTAATCCTAGAGGGTGAGCGAAGGCCGCTTTAACCTGAGCTTTAACTGAGCGCTCCCTGAGCAAACACACTGGGGGCCTAATCTGGCTCCTTACGAGCGGCTATACTTACCTCTCGGCTAGGCATCTATGTTAGACACTGCCTTCAGCATGCCGCGGGGATACGTAGAATGCACCAAGAAGAAAGGATAACCGAATATAAGGTAACCTTCAATTTAATATAGTAGATTATAAATATTAGACGCTAGAGAAGGCGGTGAGAGAATAGACGAATTAATAGAAGTATTTAGCAGTATGTCACGAGCCTACCGTTGTCCCTAAGTACCCTACACCCTCCACCCGATTCGGGTGGATGATATAGGAAGAAAAGGATAAGGTAAAGAATAGTTAAAGCATAAACTAAGACGAGCTAAAGCACGAGGCTATTAGTTAATAAGGCTATCGATTAACGTCGCCTTACCCTTTTTCACATGATAGAAAAGAGAAGAAGCCATAAGAGTTTCCTCTCACCCGATTCGTTTGAGAGAGAACTCTTCTTTCTTCTTAAGCGTTGAGTTGTTGTTAATAGGACTACGTGATATAGAACAAGGCATTCAGCTACTTTAGTTCTCTGTACCTACTACGTTGCGTAGGTCCCTGGTATCCCTCTGCCATTTCTATCGTTGTCTCATCTATGCCACAGTCGGGCACTTATAGCTACAACAACCACCTCAGTCGATCCAATCTTAACTGGTTGTTCAGATCTTACAAATGTCAGCGCTGCCTTCAATAACTACACGTTCCCATCGAGAGAGTCTGTAGTTAGGGACTGAAGATCAGCTCATAAGCTGGAGCCCGTCATCAACTTTGTCGACGAAGCGATCTTACGGAATTCAGCAACAGTATGGATGGCCAGATGCAGTCATTCGATACAAATTCGAGAGCTAGTCGACCAAAGATCTCCATTGGCCTTGGTTCAAAAAGGCAATGGACCAGTGGCTCGATGTTGCCCCCTTTCTTGTCTTTCAAGAGCATCCAATATCGGCTGAGCCGAGCAGCGAGATTGCAACCATCAGAGAGGGGAGTGGAGGTTTTTATAGCACCATTGGCTTCTCAGAGGAAGGTGAGAAATATATGCACTTCGACTCGTCTAGGGATGTAGTAGAAAAGAAGAAATCTTGTCCACACGAGCTGGGTCATTTGCTGGGTTTGCTCCATGAACATTCACGACCAGATCGCGACAAGTATATGAAGTTCCATTGCGAGAACGTTGACCCAAGCCCGTTTGGCACTGACTGCTCAGCGAAGGACAACTGCTGCCTTGCAGAAAAGGACCTCAGCGACTGCTGTCGACACGCTCGGTCAAACCTTGGTTTCCTCAAGCAGCCTCAGCTTTCGAAGGCAGTGCGGTATATGCCTCTTTCGATACCGCAAGTGTCATGACCTACTCTCGGAACAAGGGGACCAAGTCCGGGACATTTGTATTCACTTATCCCCAGTCATTAGGCCATACCACTGAATTCTTTGTCTTCGCAGCCAACTTTCATTCCGAATTGTTCGGCGGACCTACACTTGGCTCGGGAACCTACAATTTCGGGCCTTCCGTTGGCGACGGTGCGACATTGTGCGGTATCTACCGCGCAGAGTGCGAGAAGTACCGGGATACCCTCCAGAAAAATGAGATACCAGTCGCTGATCCAGAGTCTGCAATCACTCTCCTACCCGGATCCGCCAACCTTGGACGACCGCCTAACGCGATTCCTCCAGTCAAGCCGAGCAAATACACCACAGGCTGGACATATTCTTTCCCCGACTACGTTTCTCCATCAACGACCAGATTCAATCCTCAAACTTCATATCCGTCGACAATGTGCTCTCGAAAAATACAAAATGTCTGAAGCCTTTGCAATTTGCATCCACCTTTGAAGAAAACGGAGCGCTCGCGCCGGCAAAGTCAAGTATGACATTCGACACTGGAATCCTTGGGCAAGATCTTGATCCTGATACTTGTTGTCTACGATACTACAGCAATGACCATTGCGACTCGAGTGGTCTGGATTTTGAAGACCGATGTTCTTCCACGCCTTGTGATTACACCACCAAGATTGATACAAGGTCATTTCGGTGTATAATTGCGTTGGTATCTGGCAGGCGTCGTTATCTTGATTGCTGTAGTTTTGTAAAATAGGTAGCTCTTATTATGTTGGTACCTGGACCACAAAAGTTGATCGAGAATGTCAGTGACGCAACGGTAACAATGTAGTTTCGTTCATATGAGTTACAAGGAAGGAGATGCGGGTTAGCCAAAATTATCATTGCCTACGACATGGGGTCAGCGACCCTCACAAGGGAAATGCGGGTAAAACGGTAGAAGAATCAACGGCCCGATCATCTGATATCTGATGACTTTGGGCGCTGCTGAGAACCAGGGGAAAGAAAAGACAACCGGCACGTTCAGCCTTGCCACTAGGTAAGTCTCTCACGAATAGCACAACTCCCAGTTCCGTTCTCATGGACCAACCAAAGTGCCAACCCCCAGATAAATACTGTTGTTACCCCGGTTCCCGGGAGCCCATGGGTCGGGTCGGGTCGGGTTTTACTCCCTGAGAAAAACTTATATATAGTAACTAAAAATACCAATAGAAAGCTGTAGTATGCCCCGATATTCACTTGAATAATCGACACATTGCAACTTTGCCCCAAGGAAAGTTAAAATATCAGTTGACCACGCCAACGAACGAGCATCCTAAAGAAGAGATGAAGGAGCTATTACGGATACAGCAGATACATGAGGAATTGAACAGGAAGAGGACCGCAGGCGAGGTGGTAGAGAGTGATTTCAAGAGCAACTTTTCGATCCATGAGGAAGAGGGCCCGAACAACAGATAGTCATCTGGTCTCTGCCGACCTTTGGAAGTGCAAGATCCGTGATACCGGAGCGGCTGATGGGTCGTTGCAGGACCGCCGTCCACACAGTTTCCAACTCTACCACCAAGCACGACAACCCACCAAGAACGATCAACCCAGCCAACTTTACCTTGAGCCGGCAGATTGTATTTCTCCGAATCCGGAGCCTGATGCGGACATTTGGTCGACTTAAATTTTGTCACCAGTATCAAGTGCTTCAGGCTCTACACCAAAACAAAGGAGGCAATTGTCGTGCAACCGTGGCCTCTCAACTCCTCGTGGACATAGACCAACTAGCAGCCGCTCGAAGGTGCCTCGCGTTCTGGGCCGCTTCACTACAGGAAACGCCGAATCGATACAAACCAAAACCAGGCGAGGACGTCACAGCAGACGCGTTTGTTTTCAGATTTGTACTCGTCAATCGCAGGCGCAGACTCGATGATGCAACTCAAGAAACTTGTTCCCTCAATCTCGACGCCACAACAATGGGTTATGCAGTGCGACGCTGTCAGTGTCGCAAAAGTCTTTGAGATGCTTGACAACCTAGTCAGCATGCAACAATACTGCGCATTTTGGCGTCGAATGCTGCTCTACCGTCTTGCTTAACATCGTGATACGCTGCTTGAGAGCAGGAAAGAGAGCCGACGTATGGCTGCTTGGAAACTTCGGGCTCAGCGCATTAGCAGAGTCGAAAGTGAAGTTATCGATATACTGATTCAAGAAATATATCCTCATGCTGCCGCGCCGAGCGGTAACGACGAAATAGATGCATGGCGAAAGAAGTTCGATACCGAAAAGAAAAAATATTGCCAACCGTCTTTACACCGGTCGAAATTGGAGGCGAGCTGCTGATAAATTTCAGCTGGGATCTTCGCCGTCATACCGTTCGGAGGAGAGTTCAAAGGGCAGAATCACAGGTATGTCGATGATACGAATCTTCCCACTCCGGTTATTACACTGACCGGGGTAGATATGAAACACCCCGTGACGATGAATGTGGGCTTCTATTAGATGCACTCGCAAAGAAAGATAACGACTGTGTGATACACGGGGCAGCCAAATTGACTCCATTTGTGCAGGCACTGTATAAGGGTGAAGGATATTCTGCGACTCTGAGTACCGAATTGGTTGACAATCTCTCGAAAAGGTCAATTGGCCCAATGCCACTAGGGGAACGTTGCCCGGGCACGGGAAACATGAGTTATCCAGAATAACGCCCTAAACATAAATGACATGACCGCCATGGAGACGAACGAGTCTAGGTTGTCCGATCGAGAAAATTTATCCTTTTAACACTGGAAAGAGATCCGTTGGAATATCGTCGGGTCTCATCAAATCTGCGTGTGTGTCCTAGGGGAATTTCCAAGTGTACACTTGGGAAATTCGCCCATTGATTGGCCAAATTCGGAAATACGGGCACGAGTTTGTCTGCTGGCGCGAATTGCCACTTTGGTTACACGCTTTTCCGCAATTCCAGTGAGGCATTGCTGATAGGCCCGCCTACTGAAAGCCGGCTTTCGGCTTACAGTGTCGCCAAGTCAAACAGGCAGCAGTGTTAGACTATTTCTGTCCACCTCTATCTATTCAAGGGTCTAGATTGAATACTTCGTCTCGACAGGTTGATCTCAAATCCCTCCTCTGTCGAACGTCGAGATGCGCGATAAGTCCGAGTCGTCGAACGCGCATTCTGGGAAGGACGGTTCTGGTCTCAGTTTTCCAAAACCGAGATTAACAACTTCGAGCAGGGGCGGAAAGTTACCTATACAGCGGCGCTCTCACAAGAAGTCGCGAAATGGGTGCTTCTCTTGCAAGGCTCGTCGCATCAAATGTGGAGAAGAAAAACCTGAATGCGCAAATTGCGTCGGTTGGAGTGGGAATTGTACCTACCCCTCGAGCTACACGATTCAGGCTCAGCCCATGGATACCGGCTTGATGCAGTGTTTTAGCATGCAAGATCTACAGTGCTTCCACCATTACCTTCACGCAGCATTACCCCATTTACCCCTCGGAAGTGGCAGGCTGTGGCGCGAGGACATTCCGCAACTAGCGTTTCACCGGCCATACCTCATGCATGCCCTACTTGGCCTAGGAGCGTTCCATCTAAACGCAGTGTGCTCGGAGGACAGGGCCTTTCGTCAGAGCGCATTGGATCACCGAATTCGTGCGCTACAGAGTTTGAAGCAAGCCATGTCGACCACCACGGCTGAGGCCAGTGATGGAGGCGCAATCCTGGCGGCTTGTTACGCCCTGGCATTTCAATCAATTTACCTAGCCAACGGTATGAACGATTATATCGTGCTTGTCCGTGGCTGCTATTTGACGACAAACGCGTTCCGCCATCACGGGTCGATCACTGCGCTGCCTGATCAGCATCTCCACCTCATCGCCCAAGAATTGGAAAATATGCCGAAAGCAAAAGCCCAGGAGATACAAGATGCCATAGGAAGCCTCCAGCAGATCATGCCTTTGCTCCAAAGCACGCCAGAACTTGAATTTTATCAGGGCATTGAAGACGTCTTTGCTGGACTACTCGAGTGTTCGCGACTCGGATATGAACGGTTTATATCGCTGTACAATGCCTGGACAACCCAAGAGAGCTTTGAGACCCTGAAAGACAATGACAACCTCACGATGCAGCTACTTTTGTTCTTTTATGTCCTGGAGTCCATTATTTTTGCTCCTTTGGCCCCTTGGGATTTCCCAGAAGACGCGCCCATATCCGAACACAGACTAAAAGGAATGGTGGAATGGTCTGACAGTATCTGGGCAAATTTGCCAGAAGGGCTCAGATGGTATCTGCGGTGGCCGAAGTCCGTTTTGGATAGAGTGAGGCTGATAAAGGATGAACGAACAGGGGAGTCACCTTGGAAGGATGCAATCAGAATACTTTTCGTTGATGGCGAGAAGTGTTAGTTGCGGACTCGGCGTCGTGTGGACTACTTGTACGTCATCCGGGTCCCTGTGAAGCGATTCACCAAATACGCTTTGATACCGATATAGCCAGGACTAAGACCACAGCAACAGCCGTATCAACAAAGCATTGAGACTATCTTGTCCGACTCCATTTTGTTAGAGCCAGAGTTCGTCAGGCCCCCAGATACGCCAGATCTTAGCTGGGCGCTAAAGTACAGATCTGCTCAGCCTCCTGAAGAGTGCGTGCCGTATTCAATACGACACGTAAGGCTCTAATCCCATTTTGTCTTCTTATGACACACATGATTGTACAGCGACGATGCTCAAGTCGGGGTATATATGCTGGCAAAATGGTGGTGATGTTGCCTCCAACGCTCTGACTTCTAGTGTTCCCCGTCACTATTTCTCACGGTTGAAGTAGGTGGCTGTCCGCTGTCGATTCTCTCCACGACCTGCCCACCCTCGACGCTGCCTCTAAGTCGACCATGGCAAAATGCGATCTCGTTGCAGCTCGCGAAGATGACAGTATTGCGTGGGTCTACTGCCCGTCATTCGGTGCAGCTGTCCTGTTCGCCGTGCTCTTCGCCTTGTCTACAATCGCCCATATCGTTCAGGCCCTTCGATTTCGCAAGGTAGGCTGGCAAAATAAGCAATTCGGTGTCCTCACGCTGACTGTTCTCACCAGAAATTCTGCTGGACAATCATCATGGCGGGCCTATGGGAGACCACTGGCTTCGCCGTCCGTTCCTACTCAGCGAGAGAATTCCGTGGGCTGGGTCACTTCATCCCTCAGCAGCTCTTGATCATTCTTGCGCCAGTCTGGACCAATGCCTTCGTCTATATGGTCGCTGGACGGATGATACACTTTCTTATCCCAGATAAGAAGGTCGTCGGCATTAGTGCGCGACGGCTTACGCTAATCTTCGTCATGTGCGACATCCTGTCGTTCCTCATACAAAGCTCCTCGTCTAGCTTGATGTCGTCGGACAACTATTCCACAGTGAAGATCGGGATAAAAGTTTGTATGCCTCCTTATCCCTCCCGCTGCTCATGTCCCAACTGGCTCAGCATCTTCTCGTACTAACCTTTCTGTCCCCATCCAGACATGGCCGGAGTCGGAGTCCAGGAATTCTTCATTGTCCTGTTCTCAATCCTTGCCGGTCGTTTCCAGAACCTGATGAATCGAATCGATCTCATCAGCCCCAGCCCCTATCCGTGGCGGCGTCTGCTGTACACGCTGTACGCTGCGCTGGGTCTAATCACGGTTCGCATCATTTTCCGGCTAGTCGAATACACCGATGGCGAATACAGCCATGTTGCCAGTTATGAGGCATACTTCTACTGTCTCGAGGCACTTCCTATGATTCTGTCGCTCTTCATATTTAATATCGTTCATCCCGGCATTGTCCTTGTCGGACCGGACAGCGAATTTCCTAAAAAGGTGAAGAAGACTAAGCAAGGGCAAGTACGTGAAGAAATACTGGAGGAAGAGCCGAACGGAACACCAGCCTCGACGGACGCACTCTGACTAGATCCTTGGCTCGACGTGGATTATGGTTTGGAGTTCAATGTAGGATTTGGGCGACGCACAACGGTTTAATCCGCTCGTAAACAGCATCTCGATTGGCTTTATTGTTCTTTGCAAGGCGCGTCAGGGAATCTGCATTCTTTCGTGGAATGGTATATTGTATACAGGAAGATGGTTTACAGCGAGTTGCAGAATTAGCTGACCATTGATAGGGTAATTCGAAGTAGAAGCCTAGATGACGGACTTTTGAAGTATTGTTCTGGCTGGGACTTTAAGGAAATACTGAAGAAAGACTAGCTAACTCGCGAAGTATTTAGATTCAGTCTGACTGACTAATAGCATATTAAATTATTCCATTTCTAAAAGACGGTATCTGTGAGCCCGAATGCTGATGAAGACGCTGCATAAATGTGAGTCCAAAAATTTCCCGAGAAAACAAAAACATACAAGCCAAGTCTCCTATCATGACCAGTCCTCGTCGACATCTGAGAGCTGGACCGTGATCCCGCAAATTCTGATTCACGCTTTGCGTCTCGAATTTATCGATGCTTAGAATTGTAAGGGAAGACGATTTAGAAAGAGATGGATCGATGAAAGTATTTAGGAGTAATATCCTTCGTATACCCAGCGTATCTACAGAGACTCAAAGCCTTCAAGGGACTTTGGGTAGAAAAGGGGAGATGGTGCAGCTCTTATACGTTCCTCCCCCGTTTAGCGTCTTGGCCTCTTTACTGTATTTGTTCTATAGGGCTCTGGGATAATTATAGGTATCCTAATAAGAATGACTTTCTAATGTTCCGGTGTTAGAGCTACCGCTAAGTACCAGCCGGGCAAGCTGTCCTCAGTAACAACCCTTGAATAGCGTGAGCTGGTTGTGGATGGCGCAGGGTACGAGTAGTCGATGTTACTAAGAATTATCGGGTTCAATAGCTAACATGTGAATTGGCTACGAAGAGAGTGTAACTATCTGAGGGTAATGAGGGTGTATATATAATGCATGTGCTCTGTGCGCTCTGTGCGCTCTGTGCGCTCTGTTACAGGGCCGACAGATCCAACGGGGCCAGCAGAGCGTACCACGTGACCCAGCCTTGTCCCCCAGCGGGTTTCTTCATGTGTCCAATGAATGTGGTGAGTCGTACTTTGTGTGACCCGTGACCGGTCGTCTCCAAGGCTGTGTCTAATAGGAAACTCTTATAGCTTCTCCTCTTTTCTAATATGTGAAAAAGGGTAAGGCGACGTTAATCAATAGCCTCGTACTTTAGCTTTCCTTAGCTGATGCTTCAATCATCCTTTGTCTTATTCTTTTCTTCCTATATCACCCACCCGATTCGGGTGGAGAGCGTAGGGTACTTAGGGACAACGGTGGGCTCGTGACACCTCTGCTGCAGTCTGGAGAATCTAATAGCCGTTTCATTCGGGGCCTTCCCTATCTTCATCCTAGTTCTTTAAGGTTAACTACGATGAGGCGACGTAAAAGGGCGGAATAAGTTAAAGAAGAGGGATTCAGGGCTAGGCACGCCTTCGAAAAGGCTCATTAAGGCGGATCAGATGTAGGAGGAGGTGCAGTTTCCGAGATATTGTTTACACGAAACGACAATATAAACCGACATCGGTATGCTTTTTACACGCGTCTAAATGTTTTGCAAAATCATCCTAGCTTAAAGCCTTGTACTCGGGGAGGGATTTTTAGTATTTCATCTTCTGTAGAATGTGTGGGAGGGTCTACTCTTTGCACCAGGGGTTCATCGGAGACTGCAGCCGCGGGCCATGGGTGGTTTTTAAGAGAAGTGCCAGTAGAGAGCGACGGTACCAGAGGGATCGCTGTTCAAGTGCAGAAGAAGAAGCAAGAAGGAACATGTGCCGAGATGTGCTTGTGAGCGAAGGCGTTGTGGTTGTCGGTGGCGGCGATGCAATCTCGTTATTTGCCGTGCGGTGATTAGTCCAATTTGCCGCTTCCTCTCGCGCATCAATTTCCTTCCACAAACAAATTGACACGCCGGAATGAACTGTATGGTCATGCTGGGTGAGTCGCAGATTGCTCCCTATCGGTGCTCGCCATTGGAAACTGATGAACGCGGCAGCCGATGAACCGGGGAAGGAAAGCTAGTGCTTCTCGTGGAACCGACCTTCGTCTCCTACGCCTAACGGTGGAAGATATTGGGGATGAAACGTAAGATACCTAGCAGTCATCTTTCAGCCACGGCTCTACCTTCTCTTGCTAACAGAGGTTTTCGACAGAGGTCGACGCTAACCGGGAACGGAACCCACGACGATGTCTGCCATGCAAGGATTGTAAGTCGGTGTTCGTGGTTTGGGCAATTCCTTCCAGTCCGCCTAACAACCAATGGATGGATTACGCTCCACTGCCCATACCTTCTGCTTACAATTACTGAAACGGCATGTTGTCTTGAGGACGATGGGGCATGAATGAGTGAAATTGGCTCTGTCCTCTTGCGAGAATGACTTGGAGACTGTGCCCTCTATATATCTGCTTGAATATTTTATGGAATCATGGACAAGGGCTTCTATTGTCTTATTGGTCTCAGCTGGACCCCCTACATAAAGACTCCCAAGTGACAAAGTGCCGTGTCGCAACTGCCTAACATATTTTTCCCCTTCTGCTGCTCTTTGGTAAGTGAGTAGATTAGGATAGAATATGGATTAATCGACAGTGGAATCCTAAGAGTACATATTCACATTTCCGGGCCGCTTATCGATGAGTTCAACCTTTGTCAGTGCTGCAAATCTTATTAGCAAACATTATAGGCTCCTTTTACCTCTCTACTAACCTTATAGTAATCCTGACATCGGAGTGCACCCTTTGTACACCCTGATCATGCAGCTCTGCGTGAGCTTGACCCAAGAGATTCGTGACTTCAGTCCATTTGTCCTTCTACCTTAAGTGTTAAGAGATGTGATATAATTCTGGGAAGGTAGTGTCGACCATATCGATAATGGTACCCGTGTCGTGAACTTTATATTCAAGTCCACTCTCCCTGACCTAAGTTTCGAGCCTGTTAATGTAACCAGAGATTGAAGGAGATGCTGTCCCAATCTGAGGCAATCGATTTGAGACTAAGCAAAAGATCTCATCAGGAACTACTTACAGGATGGACGTAGAAGTCGACTTTGCATATACCTGGGAGGGAGCGTGCGGCAGTAGCCATAACTATCTATAGCCTAAGTATTTGGTTTAAAGCTTTTACAGCATAGAATTCCACAGGGAGGGGTCTTTAGAGACATAATTTAAGGGTTCCTCTAAGCTTGGTTATATATAATACAGGGGATGCAAGGACATTACGGTGGGCACTCTAGGAGAGGGAGCAGAGTCGCATAGTAAATGGATCGAGCGGGACAGGGACGGCATTAACCCATGGTTGATCGGTATTCATTTCCAACCTCTCGAAGTTTTCCTTGGAATGCCGCTTATGCGCTTGTATCACGTGTGTGGTGATGAGATCCAGGATTTGTGAAAGCCCTGCCGCCGTAAACATAATGGATAAGAGTGCCTCATAATTCCCGCCTCCTTCCGGCTAGCTTCTAGCTCCGGCTGCCCTCCGGCTGCCGAATTTACAACTCAAGACAAACTGTGATATCCTTGCCTCGGTAGCGCGGAGTTCTAAATCCGTTGTTCGCGCAAAAAGCTGTTTTCCGCAACTCAGATACCAAAGCAACCCATCTACCGAACAGCATCACCACGCTCCCACCGATTGCTGTATCCAATTCTGGATTTTGAAAAGAGGCTTGATTAGAAAGAAGTCTACTAAGGAGCCAGGACCTTTGCCAAGCCCTTCTCTCCTACGACCAGCAATTCCCCCAGACTCACAGTCGCACGCGGCGCTGCCAGCACCATTATCCAATTCGCTTCGACAGCCTCCGCTCAGAAATGGCAATAAAACAAGAAGGACGTCTCGGCGATCCCAATATGGATCTGAGTACCGACCCGCGCATGGACCCCAATCTTCTCAAAGCAATAGCCGCTCTAGGCCTGACCGGCAACGCTCCGGATCCCCCCGTCCGCCGTAGCGATCCCCATCCGCAACAACTTGAATATATTGCAGCCGTCGATCAGAATTTTAATGCTTTCTTCGATGCGTTGCCGAACGATCTCCCGGATGATCATAACCGAGGCAAGGTTGACTACAGGACTGAAACCATCAAAGGGGTCGACAACAACGATATCATTCTGCACATTTACCGCCCCGCCGGAGTGGAGAGGCCTTTACCGTGTGTGATATATATCCACGGCGGTGGGATGGTGATCATCAAGACAGAAAATCGGGCATGCAAGACCTGGTGCGAAGACCTTGCATTGACCGGCCTAGTTGCCATCGCCATCGACTTCCGCAACGGATATACCAAGGAGGGGCTTCATCCGTATCCCGCGGGCCTGAACGACTGTAGCACTAGCGTGGCATGGATCAGTGCCCATAAGAAGGAGCTCGAAATCACAAAGATCGTGGTGCAAGGCGAATCTGGCGGCGCGAATCTCTCCTGCGCGACAGCGCTAAAGGCTAAACGCGATGGCAAAATGAGTATGATTGACGGCGTGTACGCTATAGTGCCGTACATCAGCGGCGCATACGGCTGGGACGAGGCGAAAAAGTTGGAGCAGCTGCCCTCGCTCGTCGAGTGCAACGGCTACTTCCTCAACTGCCAGCAGATGGATGTGATGGCCGGATTTTACGACCCGACTCGAGAAAACGAGACCAATCCGCTGGCCTGGCCGCTGCACGCCTCGACGGAGGATCTGGCGGGCCTGCCACCCCATGTGGTGGTCGTGGATGAGCTGGATCCGCTGAGGGACGAGGGCAAGGAGTATTTAAGGAAGTTACAGCGGGCGAGTGTGAAAGCTATCGGAAGAGTAAGTCTAGGTCTCACGCATGGTGCGGATTCGATTATGCGGCAGGCGGTTCCCGAGGTTTATAAGATGACTGTCAGCGATGTCAAGCGGTTCGTGGATAGCATTTAGTTCTGCCAACTTTATCTTCGTGGTTATCTCCCGAACGAGGTTATTATTGCTTACATCCAATGACATCAGCAGCGTTGTTCGTGATCGTCTGAAGAATACTCACGGTCCGTTGGGGGACGGCATTCTGAGAACTCGTCACTGTCTTTGCTGCTAGCCAGAGACTCTAACTGACCGGGAGACTGTGGTCAGCTTTTCTCTCGGATTTCCCAATCTTCTCACAGTCCAAGTTTTGATGCGCAGAAATTAGCGCCCCCTTCGTCAGGCTCTCGACTACGATAAGTAATGTAAAGGCTGTTCGCCCGCTCTCGACTGTGAGCTTTAGAGTTTGGCTGGCGTTATGGAAGGGCTTCTTCGCTACCGAAGCTCCGGTCACAATCGCCGCAGTCGAAGCTTAGAGCGTAAGCTAGCGAGTCGCGGAGGTGCTGGCGTAAGGCCAATTCGTTGGGAAAACCACGATCGCAATTGAAGCAATAGTCCATGATCTCTACCGCTTCTGGGGGTTTGCTGGGGAATTGCGAATTTGTGTTAGCCGAACTGTGGGCGTTGCAAGACTGCCACAGAGGTGTTCATAACTAGGCTGCCTCACGGGAACCTGCCTTTCATGTGCGTTGCTACGGCCAATGAGAAAGTCCTACGTAGGGTATCTCTACTGTCATGAGGGCGCTTGAAGATGATCCTCATTGATCCATCATCTTATGCCAGCCACGCAAGCCGCTTCAACGTCGTGGTACGCCGGCTCCCCATCATCCGCGACATCCTGAAGACATGTAAGAGCCACCTACAACCGATCCAAAATCCTCTATCTACAGACGACTGTGACGCACTGGAGAAAACCATGGACGGATGCCATGAAAAGGTGGGAAAGTTAAGACAAATCTTTGAAAAGGTCCTCCCGGGATGCTCAGATGATTATAGCCCCAATTCAATCTGGTGCACGAGAATCTACTCCCACACGACGTTGAAATGTTATTGAAGAGGAGATCTTCCCAGAATGACGTAGAGGATGAAGAAGCATCGGAAGATGAAGATGGAGCGCAAGAAGAAGCAGAGCTGTATTAAACCACGTTCAGCCAACCACCAAATACGTTCAGAATCGCAACGACTCGGTGACCCAACAGACAGTATTGTCTGAAGATGGCATTGCTCCTGTATCAGGGACCTACGCAACGCAGTAGGTACAGAGAATTGGAGTAGCTGAATGCTTTGTTCTATATTACGTAGTCCTATTGACAACGACTCAACGCTTAAGAAAAGGGAAGAGTTTCTTTCTCACCCGATTCGGGTGAGAGGAAACTCTTATAGCTTCCCCTCTTTCTGTCACGTGAAAAGGGTAAGGCGGCGGTAACCGATAGCCCTGTTAACTGATAGCCTTGTGCTTTGGCCTTCCTTAGCTTATACAACCATCCTTTGCTTTATTCTTTTCTTCCTATACCGTCCACCCGATTCGGGTGGAGGGCGTAGGGCACTTGGGGGCAACGGTGGGCTCATGATATCCTGCAACTCCACACTCACTCAGACAATCCTCATCCTCACCGCACCTCGCCGGCGCCTCTGTCTTGCAAAGCTTGGTGCCTCAGGCACAGCCTGGCCACAATCCAGCCATTCTGGCCCCTAAGGCCCCTTAAGGAGTCCTGATTGCCTCTCTCACAACAGGATACTCTCACGCCACTTCAATTGTCGCAATTCTCTCCTTTGCTGCCCCTTTTGTTGCATTTTATAGTATATTCAAGCAGATATATAGAGGGCACAGTTCCCTAGCCGTCCTTGCAAGAGGAGAGAGCGATTTCTACTCATTTTTCAAAAGAACGAGATGATCAGGTGAGGAGAATCTTATCTACAACCGAAAGGCACCTATCCTATCAATGCTAACCAGTTCCTCGCGGCAAACACGGCCCAGTCCACAGATCTCCAGGATCGATTTCTACGTCTAGCCGGGATATAACTGAGGGCCACTCTCCCCCGAACCCTTCGTCCCTCGCAAGAGACAGAATAAAACTCCACAAGCGTCGAGCCCGTATCCATCTTCACATCAATCTTAACAGTCTGCTAGAGATATTCAATGACAATCTGATACCGGACTCGGGAACTATCGTAGTTTCCTGAGCACACTGAGAGGCAGGCAAGCGTCGAAGCGCAATCGACAACCTTGGTCCGCCAAAGAGTAGGACGGAACAGCGATCAGTGATGACCGAAGATTGAAACAGAGCCCGCCTTCTATGCGTGCGTACGTCTGGTCTTAACTCGAATATTTTCCGAATTGACCAGATCTCGCCAATCCTTGCCAGTTGCAAAAGAATTTGCACAGCTTCGTTCCAGAAGTCCGCAATTTGGCAAGAGACTCGGGCCGAGTGCCTAGACGGAATTCCTGGCCTGCTTGTTTGAATCTCGAAATCCGTGCTTATTCGTCCTGATAACGATGGACTAGGAGGATCAGCTCGGGGGGTCGACTCCCAACTCTGGGCATGGAAAAAGCTGCTGCCGATAGTGACCGTCGTATGGACGCAGCTGTTCTGGGGTGTACCGCTCGGACCAAGACAATTGAGTATCTTGGTATTTTTAAGCCTGAAAGTGAGGCCAGTAACATTCGGTAATATTGCTGGGAAACATTTGAGGCCTCGAAACACCGGGGCGTGATTAGTTTGCCCTAACAGGAGACATAGGACTCCTTCCATCTATTCATTTGGCGAGTGATTAGGGACAGCCACATGGGTAACCCCGGTACGCCACTCGCTATCACCGAAGAAAATCAACTCATCGGAAACATCATGATAATCCAGCAATGGAAGTGTCGTAAAATATTTCATTTCGAAAAGCGGTGACAGTTGTGAATATCTGCTCATGGGGTTGAGTTGCCCATCTCATAGTCGTCCAGAGACCAGTGAATGGGATGTGTGAGGGAAAGCAGCGAATTCCACGGGAGATATATAATTTGCGCTCAGTATCATTGCAGAAATGATTTGGTGAGTCTACCAAGAGCGGCTGGTCCTTTTGATGGAGACTGTATCGAAACAAAGAAAAGCATATGATCGGTTATCGAATTGTAAATAGCTTCTTGGAGCCCGATGAAGGCTTTTTGGCGGCCCCCTCCGTAAAGTAGAGGCATGTTGACATCAAGTAAACCTAAGAGCGAATACACCCCGTCTTCCTCCCTGGTAACTTGTCGATGAGCCGCCCAGGAAAGCCTCTCCGCGGCACTATAATAATCAATGTCTTGAGTCTGAAGGAGGAGTTCTGGGTCGATCCCTATAATTTCTGCGATCTCTTCGTATCATTCAAATTTCGGACCAACCCTTGACCAATCCCCTGGCATAGAATTCAATATGAACGGGTGCAATCAGCTCCGGCAATGTCCAACCACGAGCGAACCATTCGCTCTTGCGGAAGCTTTGACTCCTACGCGCTCCTAAAGTCGAAACATCTGCTATATACACATAGCAGATGTTTGATTTCTCGTAGTAGTTTCACATGGAGTTAATATCTTCCAGCAATTCGGCCGAGCTGGACTTGTCGATACAACAACTATCGATCCAGATCCATTGATACTTGTCTTTAAAAGCTAGGTCACAAGCTTGTTGAATCTTGGAAAACCCTTGTTTCCTTCGCACCTGGTTCGAAATTCGGGTTCTGCTTATGTCTTCGTAGGTGCATTCTTCGGTGTTAGGAGTGCACCAGCGATGTGATAGAATGACGTAGTCTGGGATCTGACCAGGAACGAAGTATTGCAGTTTGATGGTCTTGGTATTTAGTATTTAGCAGCCTCATGCTTTAATCGTCTATATTGAAGGCTTTTAGGAATGTAACAGAGAAAGTTCAACACTGTTAAACTGAGGTAGGTTGAAACTTGGAAGTTGTGACGGTTCGGGAAGCTCCACGGTTTTCTCTTGGCGACGTGGCAATACTTACCGCGTGAGGAGGCAAAAGTACTATATATGAGTGTGTCTGGTGTTGTTCACGCTCAGCAGATTAGGGGCCTCACCATGCGCTGAATCACAGAAATTATCTGGCTCTCTTACCAGCTGTCTGAGGTGGCGGCAGATGGATCGCATCACCTCGATCGCTCCACCGTTAGCGGAAAATGAGGCAATCGACGCCCGGAGCATAACTAGGTTCTATCGCACTAGGTCCGGCTTATAACTTATATTCTTGAGATATTGCTTAGCTACTTCTACCTCATCTTAGGCTGCCGTAAGCTAATAAAGGCTTTCTTACTGCACTAGTGCGTAGTCTCTTTTTAAGGTCTCGACCACGCGAATAAGTTTAAAGATTTCATAGTATTTATTCCTTAATAATCTCGACTATATCTATAGAGTCGACCGGGCATACTGGAGCTCTTCACGTAACTTCTCTAAGAATTCTGCCAACTCGCAAAAATTGACCTTCAATAGGTCGAGGTTCCGTTGTCCTTCGGATATCTTCAACTCTGGTTGTTGTCTAACTGGAGTAAGAGTCCGCTCGACGCGCTGCCTCCCGCGTCTCCCCTTGTCAACCTCACCCCGTAGGGAACAGCGTTCGGCGTCGAAGCGGCCTTGGAGTTCTTCTAGATTCTGTTGTGCTCGGGTTTCGTCCTCCCGAGCCCCAGGACGGATGGGCTGGGACACGCCCATCAAATTACAGTGATCTCCCTTACAGGAAGTGTCGACCGCTGTAAAATAATCGGATTCGGTAGGTCGATATCAGCGCGGCTAACCCTAACAAATTCATCCCTCTTCTCTCCCGGAAGCAGTACCAACGCAGCGGTTCCCGTCGTACATTATAAGTGGCAGAAATACCGCCTGGACCTCCCCATCTTGGACGTGCGACGACCATTGCTCGCAGTCTATATCGTCTATCGCGCACTCGCCAGTAAGGTCTCGAACGTCCTTCCCGACGATATTCACGAGACCAAGCTCGGAGAACGGAGATCTGTCAACCGTTAGAAACAGAACGTGACTTTCGGCGTCAGAGCTGTTGATAGTTCCTCTCATCCACCTGGCGTCGCCCGTAGGAGTGCAAGGCATGACATCAATATGCAGAGTCAGCAGCTTGGCTTTGACGAATAGCTTGCCGCTCTTAACTCTCCCGTAAGGTTCGCTTGAGCGTTTGACTTAATATCTTGTCCAGTCAGTTCAGTGTCTAGACCTGCTGTATGTTCTCGATAATCGCACTTTCCGCTGTTGAGGATTTTCGACTCAACTTTAATGCGGATCCTCCTGTGGCATTGCGATATCCATGACCATGATGGCCCAGAGAAGCCTACCAGATCGTAGTTGGTGATACCAGGTGTAACAGACACATGACGGGTTCCCTCGACATCGGCAGTCCACGAAAGCCCGAGCCCTAAATCGCTTTGCCACAGTCCAACCGCATACCGATCGCCAGCACTCATGTAGCTGGCAAAAGCCTGTGCAAGACCGGAGAGAGCCGGAAGAACATCATTTTTCATCTTCATATTTCGGGAAATTCCTCGACAGTAGCATGCCAGAGGTTCAAGTAGGGGTTCCGTCTTGCCTTGGCTGGAGTATCAGTTTCTGACTGGATGGGCTCAATATGAATTCTCAGTTAATGATTGGCGCCAAAATCGGGATGTCGATATCGCGGTAGCTGCAAACTCGTGATGTTATCAGAGGTCGTGTAGCAACAGAAGCATTTCCAGTAGATGCCTCTCTTGCCATACTTAAGTTGATGTCTCGACAGCTGCTGCTCTTGAAGAACCCAAGCTCGGGAATAAAGAGAAGCGTTGATAACTTCTACGACTTCGTAGTTCGGCTAAGAACAGCTACGGAGATATACCGTGGGCCGCGTGAAGATGCTTTTGACATTGACAGCGATCTATGAATTATGTTCTCTAATCTATCCCATGTTTTCGGAATTCTGCACAGGCTTCGCCAGGTGTGATTAATTTAGTTGACAAAGGCTAAGTTTATTGCCCAAGGCGCCCGTCCAGAATGTCCGAATAAGCCATCGAGTCATTACGGATAGTCAAGTCCGAAAGGATCCGAGATTATCACATGCTGGTTGCGAGCAGGAAAGGTTAGAGTCACGAGTTTTCCGTTTCTTCGCGTTGACAACGGAAATGCTGTCTCGTTACGGGATTCCGTGGTTGAGGAAGGCCGGCGACATCAATGATGACCTATTAGAAGCAGCTATGAATCCAATCGACGGACTGCCGTAGCATTACTCATTTATTTTAACCCATCGACCCCTGCAGGCATTGGATGCGCTTTGTGCTCCTGGAGCGGTTGAGCTTAACACACGGTTTTTGTCGATGCATGGGCCAAAGTTTATTGTCTTTTCCTGGGGAGGATCAAGCAGCATTGAAGCGTACGCTCTTTCGGGCCAAGTGCCGTATTCTCGGCGTGCGCTCTCCGGTTGTATCGCTGAGAACGAGCTTTTGCGAATACTTTTTCGCAAAAAACACTGTTAATTCTCACGCGGAGTAGGCCGACGTACAGTATTGGAAAATGCTACCTCAGTGTCTTAAAATCCGGACAGCAATCTCTAAATCTTGAATCTTCCTCGTCAACGCTGCCCGGCGTTCTCTCGTGACTGGTGGCTTCCGCGCGGTTGTCCCCAGTTGCCCAGCATCCAACGCGATCACCCACTCCTGGGTGAAAACAGCGAGGGGACTCATAGGTCCAGTTAACTAGCACAGATCGACAGCTTGCTGATAAACACTGTCAACGAAAAGTTTTCGTTCAACCAAATAATATGACCATAAGATGTCACGTATTTCTTCCTCCTTGTATTTCACATTGCTCTTGCTTCTAGTTGTCCCTCTGACATCGTCAAGATCAACTATGAGATTATCGAAGGTAAAGGCCTGACGATTGTCACCCACTTAGTCTCCTGTCGCGACTTTATTTTCATCATATCCGCCTTCCGATTGCCACGGGCAATCTGAAGGTTCTCATGGAAGTAATGGTTTACTGTATATGGCCTTTTCTCTCAATCCAGAAACACAAGGAACACTGCTTAATCCATTACTGCTTTGTATCTCTTGATGACTTCATCGAGAATAGAAGACCAGAACTCTTCGCGAACCTGTACGTCGGTACAAAGAGCGTTCAAAGTAGTGACCATAAAACGATGAATGGTCACAACAATATGGCTGATGTATGACTTTGTCCTAGAGTCTCACTTGCTGGACTGTCTTTAAAGGCGCTTCTCAGGTTAGCTTTACTAAAAGTACTTAACTGTATTACGCGAGATCGGACACAAAGTTGTTCAGTCCGATCCATGATACCGGCCTGTGGATCGTCGACGTGGTCGTCCCTACTAATGATAGCTTCGAGGACGTCGGACTCGCCAAGGTCAATATCTCCGAGAAATTCTGGCTCCTCTTTTGCGTGTGCTTTAGCCCTCGAAATGCATTCCTCGCTTTCGGCGGGTCCCTCGTCCCCACTTATCCCAGAGTCCTGAGAAGAACGGACGTGTCCCTTTCGCTCAATATCAGAGCTAAACATTTCTGTAAGATTTGCCACATATGTGACGAGCCTGAGTTCTTCTCTTTCTTCAAAAACATCGTGCCTGGAATAATGAGCTGTTGCACACAGTGAGAGTGGATCTTTCTGCTTGATTGTGTCCTCCCTGCCTACTTCACAGAGACTCTGGCTATCTATATACTATTTGCACTGTGGAAACAAGCCGTCCGCTGAATAGATCTGGACCTGGTCAGATATGTCCAGGCCCCGTTATCGACCAACGGCCGACGCTGTCATAGAGAGGCCTCGGCATTAGTGGATTAGTTAGTTTGCCACAGTGACGTTCTGCTGTCAACATGAGCATTCGGTGCAGTATTAACGAGCTCTTGAAAATGTCGAGCCAGAGTACTAAGGAACAATCGTTGGTCTTTCCCAATTTGACGCGATGGACCGAGTCCTTCTAACTCCCTCTGACAATCCAATAGCTGCTTATTGACTTCCTTCCGTAGTTCCGGGAATCTTTTCTCGTAATCTGACCTAAGAGGTCGCTTAATCACACCTTCAAAGCCAGTACACCGAGATGATTCTTTGGCAGTTACAGGGCGTGTTCGGAAGCAAACTGTTCTGCTCCTGTACAGTTGAAATCGTCACCGTCGTCCGTACCGCGGCTTCGAACGACATAATATCCGAGGGAGAGGGGCCTTTTCTTTCCCGACACAATACTGCAAAGGGCGACTTATGCATTTTGATCTTTCACCAAATCCGGCTTTGTCAGGACGCCCAGGATGCGCTCTCCGGCCTAGTCATAATCTTCTGCAAGCGTGAGAATTTCTTGGGTGGCAATGTCGACATTGCTGGGGAGGACTGCGAGGATGATGATGCGATTATTTTTGATGTACTCCTTGACCTTGTTTCGGACAAGCTGGACATCGTCTTTGGTCGTGATTCCCTCGATCGGGTTGCGGAAGGTGCCCGGAACATCAATCACTATTAAGTAGTCCTCGTCAGGGCCACATATCTCAATTCTCAGAATATCTTCACTGAAAACCGTCCCTTCGCCGGAAGATGTGTCTATCTGAATGGGAATTCGGATATTCACCTATTGAATGATCAATAATTATGGCAATATACTAAGCATAATTAGCACGGGACCAACCTCCTTCAAAATATGCAAGAATTGGGCGCGAAAGCTCTCCGCCGATAGAATTCTAGGATGATAATCTGCCAGATATCTTTTGTGCGCATCAGATGCGCGAGGACCCGGAATAATAGTGATATTCAATCGAGATTCGGAATCACGGCGAGAACGGCATCTGCGTCGCATAGTGCGTACACAGCTCCACATTGCGAGGAAATGGAATGTTGGTTAAGCTTTTCTAGAAGAGAAGATTTACCAGAGCTTTGATCACCGACAACAACAAGCTAGAGGAAGATCCATTCTAATCAAGAGAGAAATGGTATAGTTGGGAAAGCATACCTGTGGAAGTAGAACATATTTACTATCATTCTTTTCACGAAGTAGATCTATTTTCTGCAGTAGAGTTGGGCTAGCTAAATGGTCTTCGACGGCCATGGTAAGCAGGGTTTGAAAGTAGAGATTGAAGGAATCAATTTCAAAAGCGACTAAGTCAGTTTTACACATGAGGGGAGCGAGCCAGAAGATCTTCGCAGTTTGCCCAAAAGCCCGGATTGGACTTCATATTGTGCAGCCCCGTGTTGCGGACACATACTTAGTTCCAAGACGAAAAACGAGAGAGACTCGAAGTCCGACGGCTCGCCTGCAGCCAGTGATTTCGGCCTTATGCTTTTTCCGGTTTTGCCAGGGCCGAAGAGCATCACTCTACTCGAAGTTCCTTCAATAGTATCTCGTCGCCACTACGTCCAACCAACATTTCCTGCTGCGAAGACCGCAGCGGCGGTCCTGGAAAGAGAGCGTGGAAAGAGGTAACAACCAGGCTCTCAACTCAGCTCGGGAGGACTCCTCAAGTGGTCCATGCAGCGTAATGTCCTGTCGAGGAAACCTTGGGCGCATAACGCCATTCTTACACTAGGGCTGGGATACCGGCTGACCTGCCTTTCCACCTGGCTTAAGCTTCTTTCATCTATGACGTCCTTTGTGACCTTGAAACTCCCCAACGATCTCGCGAAGATACCTCAACACACCGCCAGCATATTCCTCCAGCTTCGATAAAAAGCACCTCATTTTGGACGAGTATGTAGCAAGCTCAGCTTCCGTTTCGAAAATCGAACCTTGTCTATGTCCGGAAGACCGGGATACATGCATACCTTCTTCATTCAAACCACAACGGCTCAGTCACGCAACAAACAGTATTGTTCGAAGACGGTATTGGTTCTGCAACTTCGCCATCAGTCAGACAATCCTCTCCCAACGTAACAGGCACAAGAGATAAACTAACAGTCCAGCAATCTGTCAGCCCAAATGACCGGAGATCAACCCCCCGAGAGCTAGTTCCCGAGCCTCTAACCTGTCTCCCTTCCATAGAGACCGTGATACGAGGAACACAGACCATTCGATGAAGGTCGCAATTGACGTCGACTTAGTTTCGACCCAATTTTCTGCCAATCAGTTCGCAGTCGACTGGAGCATATTGGCCAGTCTTGAGCGACCTTTGGCAACTAACGTGGAATTGTCAAGGTTCGAACGGTGGATTTCACTAGGAGACTCGTGCTGTTTGAGGTATGAGTCGCTGCTGAATTGCCTCAGGCACAGCATACAGCGATACACATCCTTGTCTGCCTTGTGGCCGAGAGATTCCGTCTGAGTCATTGGGACGCTGAGGGGTCTTCGAGCTGATGCGAGCTGATATCATGGCTTGCTTCGTCCTGTCGAAGGATTCCACGACCAAAAGCCTGTTCGTCCGATTCTGAAGCTTTCAGCTCTTGAGCTGCCTGGGCGACATAGTACTTGAGGAAGCAATATATGGCGTTCGAGGTAGCTTCTAGGCCCATAAGATGGGCAATGCTCTCGTATCGACCTCTCAACCAGAATGCCATTGGGTTAGGTCGACAGGGACGTGCTGACAAAGCGGGACTCACAGCATCTGGACCTAGTTCAGCGTAAACCGACGCTGAAAGCCGGAATTCGGGTTCGTCGAGTCTGTTTTTCACTGTCCTCTCACTATTGGGACGTTCTTCTACAGTAAGGAGTGCTACGGAAATAGTTCGAGAGATCTCCTTGCATGAGACAGAGGTGTCATTTTGCTACTGTACAGTAGGATGAATACTGCGTGACAGACTGTTCCCATCTCATTGGAGGTGGTGTTTTAGGGGCTCGTATTCAGCTCAAAGAGGCGGAGCTGAACACATCTCCAGCGCATGGAATATACTCCCGCTAATTTAAGTTCAGTCAGCTATTGAACTACAAATAGATGTATCATGGCTGTGTCGATCCATAATGCCGGCACTTAATTTGATCAGGAATCAATTCACTAATTCTCACCATAGTAAGAGTTAAGTTATGAGATGCCGGCCGGCGCGTTCTATACGCATTCAATATGGTCAACAAGTAGGGTTACAAAATTTTGGCTTGTTTTTCGTCAGGTCGACGGCACTCCACTGTTGTCGACAGGGGATCGGCTGTGACTGCACTGCTCAAAGTCAAAGTCTCGTTAGCCATGAAGACATTCATGTTGTACGGTAGAATGCTAGCCCTTGCTACATATCAGTCGCTGGGCTGAGGCAATGTAGCTCCACTCTTGAACCTTTGGATGGCGAATTGGAATAAACTGGCCAAAGCCACCCGATTGTTGAGAGACTATACGAGGCTCTAAAGCCACAAGACGGGAAAGCCGAAATAGGCCGATACTGTGCGTCTTCTCGTGTATCAATTGCTCATGTGCGCTGAGCCGTCAATCACGTATTAGACCAATGCTGTTGTCCGGGGGCTCATGCATGATGGGTCTTGGACCCGTTGAGCAATCTCGATGGACACGGGAGAAGAGAGGCGAAGACTGGACCGAGTTGAACAATTCTGCCTTCTGAACTCTCAATATTTATGACACGTGTAAGTCGTAACATGCTTTCACCTTTCCCCCACAAATATCTGGCAGGCTTATGTATCTACAGACCAATATAAGCTCTCACACCAACAATGACTGTGCACGACTCAAATTTTACCACAGCTTATTAATTCAGTCCGCTTACATCACTGGCTTGCCAGAGATCATGTCTTTTGGTCTCAATGATCCTAGTGCATCCGGCACAGTAAGGCCCACGTTCTTGCGATGAATTCCGACTCCATAGCCTGGCTCCAACACCTGGTCAGCTACGTCTGAGTTCAGCCGTGTTTCAGTTCAGCTGCGTCTGAGCTTCAACAGTTGCGATGCATGTGCAGAATCGTGCATGCACTGTCCTTATAAAAGTAGCGAGAGACCCGCGCCTTAGTCCAACATCTGAAAGGACCTTACCCCCAGCACCCGCCAGGACCATCCCATTTCCAAATTACCTATCAACCTCCACCAGAATGACGTCTAGCCATCCAGCGGGAATAGTGAAAGAAGAGCAATGGAAAACGGCGATCCGCATACATAACGCCTACCTCCACACCTGCATGTCCATCGACGATTTCAGCTACTTCGACGCCCTCCGCAAGCTCCATCAGAAAGCACCCGCCTTGGTGACTCATGAGTTCCACAAACTCCTCTTACCACAAGCAGAACGCCCCCCACTCATTGGAGCCGATGCCCCTACTCTAATCACTAAAGTACAGGCAGGGGATCTTCAGACTATCGCAGACACCGGGGCCCAAAAGCTGCAGGATAGCAGCCAGCAAATCAAGAATCGCATAGAAGCGGATGCGCAACTCGCTCCGACTGATAGGTCTAAGGTGCCTGCATGGGCTCAGCAGATGAGAGAGAAAAATGACGAGGACAAGAAGAAGTTAACGGACCAAATGGATCAAATGACCGAGGACGCCATTGCGAAGATCGAGACTTATCCTCCTGAGCAGCAGGCACCGGCTGCGAATGCTTGGATGGTCGCTTCGAATATCGTGACGCAGGTCCTGGGAAATATTGTGAATGCGTTCAAGACAGCTTTAGACGCTGTCATCAACTTTGTGCATAACGCGATTGAAAAGGTTGAGGAGGCTTTCAACGCAGCCAAGAACTGGTGTGAAGGAGCTGTTAACGATGTCGGCAACTTTTTTAGTCATCTCTTCTGATAGGTTGGAGATCAAGGGATATCGATACCGTATGATGATTGGTTAATTTGCTTGAAAATGCCTTAGTGTGTTTCAGAATCTGCACGACTGTTCCTTATGACCTTCTAGCAACGTCACCTTATTGCTTAGCGGGAACTAGTGGACGACAAACTGAGGGTGCACGTCATGTCAGAACTATGCCCTGGTAGATGCTAGTTTTTTTCGACTTCTCAAAATGGACATAGAGGGTGCTCAGAAGTAGCTATAGTTATAGCGCCGTTCAAGAGCAAAATTCATGAATGCGCGACAGCCTTGACCTCCATGTCTTTTCACGACACCTCAGTTGTTGTCGTAAAGGTTTGTTCTCTAGGATTACGTACCGAACTTCTTGTCAGCATTTGTGATCCACTCTTCTGCGAAACCCCAGGAACACTTCGTCGATCTCATCATCATGGAACATGTCGATGGATCGCTGGCAAATCGAACAGATTAATAGAACGCGGGCGCCTCAACGGCCGGAGTGGAACACGGAGAGGATATCTCGTAGACATAGCGACCGAACACATTGCATCCCGGTTTAAACCATGCACGCGGACTCTAGAATAGCCGACCCGCCATAGGCTGCAGAACCACACATTCTGGTGGTCACTTCGGCGCAGGAAGGAAACGACAGCCATAGCAACGGTGAAGGACCCTGCGAATAGCTAGGATTAGAGGAAGTCGACCTTCTTCGCGTCCTCAGACGATAGCGGCCGGAATCTGTGTTAAGAGTATACACTCAAGCACATAAGAAACCACATGAAGATGAGGTTGATTTGGGAAGCCTTGGAAAAGGCGTGCTACGTAGCAATTCGCGCCTGCAGACAAACTCGTCGACCGCACTTTTGAATGCAGACCGCCGATTGAGTGCAGGTGATTTGCGTTTGATGCTAAGAAATGGGGTGTTGATCTCGAGATTTCCCAAGCGTGCACTTGGGGAATCCCCCAGCATTGGGTATACACGTAGTATTGGTGGGGCCTGACGACAATAGGTTTTGGAAAGGGAACACACACAGAACATAGTATGAATTAGTACGTTACGTTTACCGCCCGCCGCGACGCGCTGCGCTGTTGCCTGAGCCGTTCTGTTTAACAGAGAATGGGAGTGGATCTATCTGATCGATTGTGTCTCTGCCCTTGCCTACTTCAGAGAGACTATGGCTATCTATATACTATTTGCACTGTGGAAGCAAGCCGTTCGCTGAATAGATCTGGACCTAGCCAGATCTGTCCAGGCCTCGTTGTCGACCAACGGCGGCACCGACGCTGTTAGAGAGAGGCCTCGGTTGAAACATTGGTGGATTAATTGGTTTGCCACAGTGGCGTTCTGCCGTCAACTCATTCACAGTTATTCCCACTGTGCTACCACTGCCTAGAGAGCGTATGGCTATCTCGCTGCCGCAGAGGCGCTGCATCAGTGTTTGTTGTTTGGGTTGTTGGTGTCAGAACAGAGGCCTTCCCCTTTTCCTATGGAGGAATCATGTGCTTGCGTCAGGCCTCTGCGTTCCTTAGTCGCTAACCTCTCTCTAGCCTTCATCACCGTGAACACTTCCTCGTAAGATAATGTATGACGAATAATTTCAGTGTGCTTCATAGCCCACAATCCGAAGGGGATGGCCACGACTCGAGGGATAGACGTGAATGAGATGGCCCATTCGGGTTGAGCAGTGCGCTTCTAATGCTCCCGTCAATATCACTAGGCACTCAAAACCTAGATTTATGCCTTTTCTTTAAATTTCGTTAAACACTTTATCTTTCTCGGGATCAGAGGCTGACTCTTCACGGTCGTTGTACTTGATCACCTTCAGAGCCGTCACATCGATGCCATCAAGAGTTCTGAGCTTCAGCGTGTCAGCCTTAGGGCCAAATAAAAGGAGAACCGCTTTACGTTAAGTCCAACTTTCCCAACCCAATAGCCATTGTCAACAGAGGCATCATCAATGTTCACAATGACATGGATTCCACACTACAAGGCTTCAGATGTGATAATTAAGAGTTTCGGACACGGGCAACGTGCCTCAGGACAGAATCTGTGATTGCATTGCTTGAAACCAAATGTATACAACTTTAATTGGTCTTTTCCCTTCAATATTATGTTTTCTTCTGGAACATAATACATAATAGAGCCTCTTCTGTTGCAGATAGAGCAATTGCAGGTGCCTGCGTCCACCTCTTCGATAGGCTTATCAAGGGTCAGCACATACGTCGTAGCCTGGCAATGACAACCGCCGCGGTATTGGGGCATGATGAGAATGAGACTGTTGGCGGACAAAGGAAAAAGGTATAGGAAAAGATGAGGAAGAAAGCTGCCTACCTGGCGGGGGTATTGATCCTCCCGAGAGCGCTAATGATCCACACTGCTATTTTCAATAGCGCAAGAGCTAGACAGCTTAGTGCGCTCCTCAATATACTCAATACTCTGTGCCCCACGGGGTGCTTAGTAAGGCTCGGCTAAAGGCTTAGTAGGCTTAGTTAAAGCTCAGGTTAAAGCGGGCTCATCCTCCAGGCTTGAAATCGTATGATATTTCCACGCTATCGTCTTTTCAGATTAGCCTTTCAGACCACTGTGTAGATAACCTACGCCCAGTTTCATTGTTGCCACGCGTTCTTTGTTGCCTACCACTGCCTGAAGTTGCCCCTTCCCACCACCATACCACCATCAACCATCTGGTAGTTTGGCAGAAGATTTATCAAAAGATAGGATGACTATGGCATTCTTTGATTTCCTACTACGTGGACTCGGTCAAGCACTAGCTGCCACACCTGCGGTCATCCTCGGAGCCGTAAGCGCCTCTCGTGCAGGGACGACCGATTTGTTAATATGAATCTAGATATCTCTATATCTTACCTATCTTTTCTCACCCGGCATCTACAATATATACTTTCACCCTCTCAGCAAGTTTCCTGGTCCCAAGCTAGCTGGCGCTACCGAGCTTTTCGCGGTTTTCCATTTCGTCCGTGGCCAGCAGTTAAAGTTCAGCGAGAAGCTTCATACAAAGTATGGTGAAGTAGTCCGCACAAGACCCAACGAGCTATCCTTCATTAGCGACCATGCTTGGAAGGATATATACATGCATCGTCAAGGCCACAAACAGATGCAAAAAGCTGGTATACCTGTTAGCCAAAACAAAGCATATGCCATTACTATCGCCCCCGATGATGTGCACGCACGCCAAAGGCGCCTACTATCGCATGCCTTCTCGGAGCGAGCGGTAAGAAGAGACACACAAAATTCCAGTCTCTGAAGTAACACACATTGTAGCTTCGAGAACAAGAGCCGTTGATTCAGGAGTATGTTAACCTCCTCATCAGCAACATGCGAGAGGACGCAAAAGAAGGGAGAGAAGTCGACATGGTCCAAAACTTCAACCTTGCCACCTTCGACATTATCAGCGATCTCTCTTTTGGGAAATCCTTTGGTGGCCTTAGGATCAGGACGGCACATCCGTGGATAAAAGCATTCTTCGACATTGCGACAACAGGGACTGTTATGACTCAACTAGTACTACTGAAAATTCCTATAATCTCGATACTAGCGGGGGTGCTAGTCTTGCCCATGTTGAGGAAGCGGCTCGGGATTATGAGCTATACCAAGGACAAGATTGAGAAACGTATCAACCAGGAAACTAATAGGCCTGATTTTATGTCATATGTGCTGAGACACAACGATGAGAATGGGATGTCCAGGGAGGAGATCCAGGAGACCTTCAATGTGCTCATGATCGCTGGCTCCGAAACCACTGCAACATCACTAGCTGGATGCACTTATCTACTTCAGAAGCATCCCCGGGTCCGACAGAAGCTACAAGCTGAAATTAGAGACACGTTTCTGGATGACAAGGAGATCACTATGCTCAGCGTTAGTCATCTAACATATCTGGATGCAGTCATCGGGGAGTCACTTCGAATCTATCCACCGGTGCCAATCGCCTTGAGTCGTATGACGCCTCCAGAAGGCGCAGCTATCTGCGGTCATTGGGTCCCAGGCAATGTATATCTACTTCAGATGCATTCATCATATTTGCTGACAGTCATCTAGGTATCTGTTGGCATTCCACAATTTGCAGCGTATACCTCCCCCTTCAACTTTGTAGAACCGAACTCGTTCGCGCCAGAGCGTATGCTCCATGAACACGCCGCGAAATTTGATAAGGACCGCAAGGCTGTTCTGCAGCCTTTCTCCACCGGACCTAGGAACTGCATTGGCAAGAAGTGAGTTCCAATGTAATACACTATAGAGTACCGAGCTTAGGGTCACTGACAGGCCGATAGCCTAGCTATTGCAGAGATAAAACTAATCCTTGCTCGAATCATCTTCAACTTTGACCTTGAGCTGGTTGATAAAAAGTCAAACTGGTTCAATCAGGAGGTTTATAGTTTGTGGAGGAAGCATCCGCTGATGGTTCGAGTCAAAGATGTTAGAGTATAGAAACAACCTATGGCAAGATTCCATACATCGGCAAAATTTCCCGCATGAGCCTGAGAGCCCTGGGCCGCCCTGGGCTATCAAGGTAAGTCTTCGTCTTACGCAGCCCATGAGACCGCAGAGCTCGCTGCACTACTCTAAGGAGGCTCTGGGCTAATATAATACTTTATAACTTTACAAATATATTGTAACGAGGCCAAGTGGCAGTGCAGTGCTGTGCAGGGCTGGTAGAGTGATCGCAAAGGGGGAAGAAGTTGTCTAGTCACATGTCAAACCAAAATAGGCTGGCAGAGGGGAGTGCGGAACACTTCACAATGCTGGCAGAGTGCCATTCTTTACAATTTTGAGCAGAGTATCATGAATTCCATGGCCTTTTGGTGCCGTCTACGTAATTCCTGAGTGTTTTATCAGTCTTGTCAAGTCCTCAATGCTGCCGCTGTGCTAGGCGTTCGTTGCCCTAGCCGCCGCCTCTCTGGGTGGTGTTGGTGGTGGTGTTGTCTTGTCAGTGCCAACCAGAAACGCGTTCTCGATTCCCGATCTGCTGGACAGGCCTCTGTGCGTTGTTGCACGTGCACGCCGAACCCTGAAGTGCTCTGTAACAGTATTAAACATGTACTATAGGGGTACCTTACATATACGCTTATCGCTAGACTCTGCCTACTTGCCAAGGAATCCCTAACACTCTGGGCATACAAGAATGCTGTGGGCCGCGGGAAAAATTGCTGATGAGAGGACCTAAAAGAAGAAGAAATATAGTAAAGCGAACGCGAGGGCGTTAATAGCTAACGGGATTCTAGAACGCTAGGAACGATAGCGAGATCGCGAGAATAGAGAGGAATAGCGATATCAATATGTAGTTCAGGCGCAGGCGCAGGCGTAAATATAGCCGAAATCAATCTTCCTAGCCTCGCCAACCTCGCCGCCTATCTCAAACCAACCCATCGGTGCGATCGCCTAGAACGCCACTTAATCTACCTCGGCCTCGTCGCGAGCCTCCGCCTAAGTCCTCCCCCAAACTAGTTCACAACCTTCTACCACCGGCATCAACAGCCCCCGCCGAACTTAGAAGAGGCAAACGAGTCCGCAAACGAACTACTAGATTAGTGAAATCGCTGCAATAGGGGTTCCTGCCTGAATCACAGAACAAGGGCAAAGAGACGGATGAACAGGCGGAAATGGAAGATCTATATGGGTCGTGAGAGATCTGTCAAAACACCAAGGAATGCTTTACAAAGAGGCGGCGAGGTCTTTACACGGCGAGCAGGAAAAGTAAGTCGCTGTCAGCTAGCAGGGCCGCTGGCTATGATACATGTTGACATTGGCTTCAAGGGAAACGGTACACGAAGCCTGTTTCACTGAACAGTTCAGGTGCCTCTAATATGTTTTGATCGGGATTATCGGGAACACCCATGGGGCTATTTCACGAGACGCAAGGATCGCGGGAAGCTGCGTTACACAAGCTCCTTCTGGGCAGAGTGGTTTCTTTGCTCACAGAAAGACGTACCGAGTCCTTAAACAGCTATCAAAGACAGAATGAATGAGATGCTTCATACAAATTGAGAAAGAAAGCCATGGGTAAGCTTATCCATATGGCTGGATTAAAAATAGCAAGAAGCCGATATTTTGTGGACGAAATGACAACAGCCATCAGTAACTATGAGATCATCATCTAAGAAGCGAATCGGCTGGGCCCCAGCTATGACAGCCCTCACATATGGAATGATATTCGAATGCTACATTCCCCTACTTCAGGCAGACGTTACGAACATACCCTCCATTACCACCCATCCGCAAGAATACATCAATACGCCGATTAGCGATCTCTCTAACGTGAGACTCTCTAACGGGAGAGGCAACCCAATCAAGAATCCCAAACCGAACACTAGATTATGCGAAAGTCCCCTTGTCCACCTCCTATACTTGGCGTTTGAGAGCAAAGCTCGGAGGAAGCAAACTGGGGCAGGCTACTGCAGAATGCAGCTACCGGAAAGGGCGCGCCTTCAACACCATGAAAGAGATACATGGACGTTATTGGCCCGGGATTCCGACATGTATCGTGGTACGTGTTCCAATGTCGACTCTGCAAATGAGGTACAGTATGTGATTTTCAGTATCCGCTGAAAGATTCGAACAGGCTTCGAAGACGACGCAAAATCTTTGGAAACATCGACAGACGCAGCTTCATCTGCGTCGACCGAAGTGCGACGACACAAAAGAGCGAATAGAAGCAGTGGAACTTTTCCCCCAGGAGCTCCACGATGATTCAAACTAGGAAAATCCATTGGGACCGTCTTCCAAAATTGATAGCTTTAGTCCAGATCTAGAGGCCTGATCATCTCAAGCCGCATGCGCGTGCCCTTCCGCTTTCCCGTTGTCAGTATGACTTGCCGTCTGAGTGGAGACTACTTCCATGCATGTCCCGGGACTGCCTCCGCTTTGCCGTTCTCCAACCGGAAGCCGAAAAGACGGAACAATTGGAAAGGGCGCATGGTCAAAAAGGGTCTGGAAAAGCACTATTCACAGCCGCGGCCAGCGGCGCGGAGTAGAGGGCATTTCTTGGACTCATGAATCGGTGGCAAGACAAAGTCATGGTTTGGTACGAGTTTATTGTCTAATGAACCGCAGAAGGTGAGCCAGTTCGGAGGGGGCTTTACCACTCTCATACGACGATCGAATGATGACAAGACTCGAATGTCCGGGGCGCCTCAGTCGACAATCAACTTGGGTCTCTCACGCTATGCTGATGAACATCTGGACACCGAGGGTCTGCTAGGATATAATCCCGTCAAAGTCGTGCTGGTAATCAAATAATCAAACACTGGACTTACCCAGAAGTTCCGCCAAGTTAGATGAGCAAGCAATCTAATACTACGAGTACAATCACTCCAGAAACTGGCCACCGACCAAACCCTGAAGGGTTTCGATATTTTTTCGACACCGACACCTCGGACACAACGTTATGAAAGTTGCAACTAGTAGATACAAGCAGTCAATCGGTCACTTCGTTACATTGGGCAGATCGATCGCAAAAGCTCCAGCAATCTGGGCGCGGAAGACAACTCCTCTGAAATGGGCGTGCTCTGGAGACAGCGGTATCTCTGCCAGTTCGAGGATGAGCCTCGCGGTCATTTTCTGGTTGATTTTCTCGAGCACGTTTTCCGCCGACTAGGCCATCCCCGGCTCGGCCACTGATTTCAAAAGTTCATCCAAGGTATATAGGCGTACGGAAAGGGCTTCAGCTTGATTTCTTAATGACTGGGAATCTGGTGATAGGTTGCTGAAGCTTTGTATGACGCAGGACGCGGTCTGTCCGAAATTTTTTTTTTCATCTCTTCCTGATCCGAGCGCCTCGTTCGACGTTACAGCTCCATCTTCAAAACATCCCTGATTATCCACCACGTGGTGGTGACTGCGGATAAAAATATAGCAGCTGCGCCCTGGACTATATGATAAAGAAGATGTGCACGGTCCCCAAGAATAGAAGCACATACAGCCGGATGCAACTTTGACCACAAAGGTCATCCACTGAAGCCGGATATCGAGAAAGTTAAAGAAAGCGTCCTGCGAGGAGAGATCTCCATAGCGAGTTGTTCACCAGGACCACGGGTCTCGAATCAAGCTGGAAGTCATCATGGACGAACCTCCGGCGAGATACGTCGCAGTAAATCATATATGGAGCGACGGCTAGGGTGACCCCGGCGATAACTCTTTGCTTCACTATCAAATGAACTGGGTGTATCACGCTTGTCAGTACGGTCAGGGGACAGCAACCTGGAGGGAGATACACCGTGTATCTCATCAAACTCAGCGGCGAATCTTAATCTCTCCAAGTCCGTTTGATTCCCAGACCCAAGCCTCCCGCCATTCAGCCTGAGCCACGACCATGCCACATTATTTCGAAAACCGGAACAAGCAAACAGCAGACAAACGCGCACACGAAAGGCAGAGCGTCCATGTGACTATGGTACGGACCCCATGGAAGGTGTTAAACAATCCTCTTCATGCCACACTTAGCATTGTCTTGCTCAATCTTTCACTCTCTCTTTAAAAGGAGACGCTGCGACTCAGCCCTCATGAGGCCATGCGTAAGCGAAATTAGGTAGATGATTTGAGCTTGGCAAGAGGGACAATAGGCCATGCTAGGTTCCCTTTTTTTTTTTCTCTCTCTCTATAACCCAGGTAGTACTCGGTATGCGCGGAGTATGTTCGTCTGACGGCGCGTGTGGCACGCCGTACGAGGAGAAGATCGGGGACATGGATCGATCTGACTTAGCTTGGCTGGCACTGCAGGCTTCGTTGGCTTGGCTTTCGTCATCGGGGCCCCTGATCCCGACACCGTACTTCGTATTTCCGTATCGTGGCACAGGCACGGAGTCTAATTCCCGAGCGAATTCGCTAGGTGCCGAGGCACGTCGATCTCGCTCCTGTGCTACAGCCTCGTTCAGCCTCGCCGCCCATGCCTTCTTCAACCTTCACGCGCGCTTGGACTCATGCTCGTGCCCGGCCCCCGCGGCCGTTCCCAGGGCCGGATACGCGGATATCTATGCGGAAGGACCGAGCAATTGGCAATGGGGAATATGGCTAGGGTCTCTTCGTCTTCAACAATCCCAGTTCAGTCTGATTCCACAGGATTTGAATCGATAACCACCAGTTTGGGTATATGCGTGTGTTGTTCATCTCGGTCTGTCTTGACCCTGAGCTCTCAGCTCGCGAGCCCAGCTGGCCGAGTTCGGAGGCATTGGTTGCCGTTTTACACACACATCTACGCTACATATGAAATACCTGCTCGTAGGCAACCCGCCCACCTGCCCGCCACGTCACATCACATCAACACAACCGTGTAGTCTTCTCTGATTGCATCGAGGAATACACTCTGTATGGTCGAATCTGGTTCAACATGGGCCTCGAAGACGGCAAAGGTGCCTCAGGAGAGGAAAAGCGGCGCAGGGAGCGACACAAAGGACGGCGGCGGAACGTCAACAACTGGATTTTTTGCCATCCTC